TCGAAACCTGCAATGGAACAATTCTGGATTCTTTTTGGTCCCTGAATGCCCAGAGATCTTTCATAACTCTCATCTCCCATAGGATGGGCACTATTCCTGGGGAAGAACGACTTCTCCGTTTCTTAGCCTCATTTGAACTCATGCCGTCTCCTACAGGAAGGCTTCCCAGGTTGCCCCCTCCAACCTGGGCCGGGTTCCTCTCCTGTATCCCCTGCAACATGCATCGGACTGAATGGTCCTTACCTGCTGACGCGTGTGGCCCCAATTAGGCAGGTGACGATGTTTTCAGAATGAGATTGCCATGGTTTATTCGATGCCTATCGTATGGTAGACTGTGGGCTTGGGCTTTGCCCACCGTTATGCTGATGGGAACCACACAGACCAGGCGTGGAGCAAACCAGGAGTTAGGGTCCCTAGACTGGTCATGAGAGAACACCAGAAACCTCGTCCCCTTAAAGGCAGGGTCTTTCTCCCCCATGACAGGTACAGGGGCGGGATGGTCAGAAGCTGTCTGTCCTGGAGGTGACGAGGGCCGGCGAGGGGAAGCAGGGGCTCGTCTGCTGAGTCAGGAGAGCAGGTCTCTCCCAGGGATGATGGGAGAGCTGAGAAATCTCTCGGCGGGGCTCCACCTAAGTGGGGTTTCCCATGTGCTTTTGAGCAAATCGCAAACAACAGACTTCTCACCCCCACCTCCGTAAGAGATGCCAGACAGGAGGCTTTGAGGAATGTTCTCCAAAAATGTAAGTTCAATACCCCAGATGAGCATGAGACTGTGAAAATGATTTACAGGCACTTAAAAATCTCACCATTTAACAACGGCCCTTAAAGACAGATTCGGAGTGGATGGGAAGAGATACCAGTTCATATCAAGGTTTGATTGCTCAGTGCTCTGAGCCCCCAAACTAATATCAAATTTAATTTTTGAAAACAAGGCCCACCACGATGAGATTCCACTAATTAACAAAACCAATTTTTTTTTTTCCAGATGCATCCCAATATACCCACCAAAGCAGATATCAAATGTTAAATGGGGGAGAGGGGACTGCACATGAGAAGTTGGCTGAGAGAGGCCTTCACTCGTAGCTCCCTCTGGAATTGCAACTCATCTCGATAAATCACTGTGGCTTCTCGCCATCAGGAGTCTTCTCCCTTCAGATCTTATGGCCAAGAGAAGCACTGGCCATATGTTCACACCATTTGGTGAAAGATACACTGAACCAACAAAACAAGCATTGCACTTATGGGTAATTTTTTTTTTATCGTGCTAAAAGTGTATTCATCTTCAATGTGTAGAAGATACCGTGTCACTTTTTTTCCCCGTGGGAACAAATAGCCTCTTGTATGAGACCAGCATTTTTAAAGCCATGATCCAAAACATATGCAACTGGTGTCATCCCCATATGTCCCCTTTTACTCCTCAGGTGTCTTCTGAGTCACAATGGGTGAATGCAAAGGGAAACAGAACAGATTATGAAATTAAAAGCCAAAATGTTGTCTGACAGGGGCACCGAAGAGGTCATTTGTTAGAGAGAATGTTCTCACAGGCGCCAAGCTAGTGAAGCGTCCAAGAGCATTGGAGATAACAGGGCTGAACGGCATGCCAATTCCTACCGGACAGGCCCCTTCCCTGGGTGACGAGGAGTTTCAATTTTCAAAGCTACCCGGGGTTTGGTTAATTCCAATTTCTCATCAAGTGTCACCCATGAAAGCCCATGGGCCCAACTTTCTGAAGACATTTAAAATCCAGTACAAGTTTTGCAGTCTACCTGGAGGTCCAGAAAGGCAGAAAGTCTGACATCTTCTGGGGATCTCGGTCTCTGGTAGCGGGCCTCGTGTCCAGTAGGGATGTAATCGTGAGTTCCCTGTGGGAATTCACCACGCCCTTGGGCATGGGGATGAGGAGGGAGGCCCGAGAAAGCCTGGGAGGACAGAACTGTACCCCGGGGTGCTTACACCAGGGACCAGGTGACAGTTACATCTGTGTCTCAACACGACACAAACAGATGAAGCTCTTGAGAAGGCCGCTTAAGGAGAGACTCTTGGAGGAGTCTCTTGTACAGGACAGAGCACTGCCCAGACTTTCCGGATTTTGTTGTAAATGTTCCCTTTAATAGAAGCACAGACGTAAAGTGAGCATATGACATCACATCTAGATGATGTTTTACAAGAGACCCCTTGCCCCCTCTCATCTGTGGCCAACGTACACCATGGCTTCTGCTTTAGAAGTCCTCGGATCCTCTGGATTTTGCATAGAGCTGGAAACATTTCTTAGGCAAATATACGTTCTTGGAAAGGGGAGGTCTCAGTTTGGTTCCAGCCACTTTGCATGTCAGCCTAGGCTTCTGTTTCTGGAGAAAGGATGTTATAATGTTCTATACCAAGGCTTCTGTGAAGACAACTAATAGCCATGAAATTCCTTCAAGCGCAAAAAAACATCCGAATGTGAAATAATTACCACTTGCTAGGAAGCGGTGTTATAAATGCTGCCGGTTTTTTGCCTTAAGAAACTGCTTTTGTTTGGACAAGGATATCTTCAAGGGGCTGAATCCAAGTTTAGGTTCCTTAAGTCTTTGGAAAAATCTACGTGCGTACTTGGAGCATACAGATCCTCGGCCACCTAAATACCAAATCTACGTGGAAGATCAAAGCTCAAGGTTCATGGATTTACCTGACCTTAAGCCTGCATGGAAATGCAGGGCGTCCTGAATTCCTTTTTGGTAGCCCACGGGAACATGGCCCGTGTCCAGCTGAGTGTGAAGACTAGAGCTCCTTTCTCCGGGAGAGCTCTCTGCTCTGTACACCCGACGCAAAGGAACAGCAAAATCAAACACTGGGGTTGGCCACCCGCCACGTGAGCCCTGGAAGATGTTCCTAGCCACTGTTCCCTTCGAGGAGGGCACGAAAGGGCGAGCCCAGGGCACGGCTGTATTCCAATTACGCCTCCCCAGGCCCGTGAAGCTAAAGGGGAGGTCTTCCCCCACCTGTGGATGCCCAAGTCCCCAAACCAAGCTGCGTGAGAGAAATTCAGCATCATCACTTTGCCCACCAGACACAGGCAGTCAAGTGACCAAGGCTCTATGGCTTATTCTAGAAAACTAAAACCAAAAAAGTAACACGAAACTGTGTGGCTGGTTAGGAAAACCAGAGAAGATACTCTCTTAGGCAAGATTTTAAATTTCTATGAAACCTGCCTGAAGGTACCCACCAAAGGCAGAGCGTGTGCGTGTGTGTGTGAGCGAGCGCATGCGCAGGAGGACTACACAGTGATCACACAGGTTACCAGGTCTTTGCATAATTATCTCCTGTAATCCTCGCCCATCCAGAGGTCGGCATCACCCCCATATTATGGATCAGGAAACAGGCTCAAAGAATTTAAGTACCTTGGTTCAAGGTCACAGAGAGGTCCTCTCAATGAGGACGACTCAGTTTGAGGTTAGGGAATAACGGACTCTGGACAAGCAAGCCACGTGGCTTAGAAGGGAGGCAGGGTCTCGGGCTAGTGCGGATCATCTACCGAAGCTCTGCAGCAATGTCTGGGGGAAGAAAAAAGGGTCCAAGATTAATGAAGTCAGGAAATGTTTGGGATACACAGGCTTCTTTTCTGCAGGATTTCTCAGTTTTTGCTGCGGTAATATGGATTACAGACGGCCAAGAGGAGACTAGGTCAGGAGTCTCTGGCGGGTTTTTTTGGTTTTGTTTTGAGATCGCTTCCTTTTCTTAGACTGTACTTTGAAAAAGCTGGGGTAAAACTTCAAGCCCCTGAAATCAAACTCAGGAAAAACTCATTGGATGGTCCCCCCCTCCCCCAGCTCCCCCTCAGCATTTCTTATGTTTAAATCCCAAAGTGAATTAACTTGGTAATCGGGCTGTGGCATTTGAGAGGCCCCGAGCACACCACGGGGGGGGCCGGGCACGGACAAACGGACACGCAGGGGGTGGGGGTGGGGGGGCTCTGTGGGACTTACAGAGGGTCGTCCTGCAGTTTCCGAGGATTCCTGCATTTCCGCGGCCTTACCAAGCGGCCAGGCGTCACTGGGTCCCGGGCTCCGGCGGCTGCAGCACCACAGCCGAGAGCCCGAGGGCCCCGGGCCCCTACAGGTCAGGCCGGCGCTGCGCCTTGGCTCCCGGCTCCTCGCCCCTCGGTCCAGCTCTTCTGGCCGCACTCTGAGGGGCTAACAGCCAGAGCCTTCCTTTGGTTTTGGGTCAACCAAAATGCACTACGTGCTCTCAGCACGTAAGCACCCCATTCGGAAGACTGTCCCTGTATGTGTCTGACCCAAGACTATCACGCGATTGGAAACGGCCTCGGATCACGAGGGACTCCTCGGAGCCTAGAACAGAGCTGGGCACGCAGCGGGCGCCCGACACCTCTGCCGAGCTGGTGAATAAGGAGACAGCCTGGCAGCTTGGGTACCGACACCGGAGACGGCTCTGGGCTGGCCAGGAGGTCCCCCCGGTGTGATGCTGATGGGGTGGCGGGGAGGGCAGGGGCTGTGGGGCGGCTGGGCTTCCAGCTCTCCGATAAAGAAGTGAAACGCAACTCAGTGAGAAGAAACCGGGTTGTTTGGGGCGTCACTTTGGGCTCAGTTCTAATACCTTCTCTGCTTCCTTGCAGGTGAACAGGTAATGGGAATTGGTCCACAGGGTTTGACAGGGAATGAAAGATTTCCAGCAGTTTTTAAATGGATGGATTTCAGGGCAAAGGCCATATTCTTTCCATAAAAGAGGTAGTTAATAGCTTACACTGTATCATCCAACTGCTCATTCCCGCCCCCCCCCTTAAAAAACGATTCTCTATTCTAACTTTTCAAAAACAGCATAACTAGTTTCTGAATAGGCCACCTTTGCCAATAAAAACAGATTCTCTACCACTCTCAACCTCAGACAAAACATTCAAATAGTTATTTCTGAGCACATGCCACCCAATACCTCTTATGTGACATTAAAAAAATGCACTCAAATACCAACAGATTCAACTTTATAGCACCATTCCAAAATACTAAACTTTCTTTGCACCTTTATTTTTATCTTTTTTTTTTCTTTTTGTACACATTTAAAGTACGGGCATCCTGTAAATTTCTGAAAAGCCTCTTAGGGGAAAAAAAAACAACTAATTTTTAGGACAAAGCAATAACTCAGTTTGTAGGCAGGATGATCTCAGGCAGGCTGTAAATTCTTCGTGGGCTTCTGCAGTCTTGATTCTGGGGTGAATGTAGAAAGGATGCTAAAGTCTTCCTGGATTATTCTAGAGGTTACATTGCATATCAGTATGTAAAAACTTGTTGCTCAATGGTCAGACTCTAGGTATTGATTACAACTCAAACCATGACAACAACAGTCTTTTGTAATGATTTTACTTTTTTGAATGACAAAAGAATCGGGGTATTAGATGACTTCAGAGTCTGTATACACCTTGTATTCATGCTCTGTAAGAGAGCAGTTAGACTCCTACCGAGTTCCCTGGTACAAATCTTCGTATTTGAAGCTCAGAGCACTAAAATCTGTTCTTAGCAAGCAGATGTATTTAAAGTAGAGTTATAAATGGGTTTTTTAAATTCAACATATATTTGGCTGCATTGTTAAGTACGAAGATTGTGTGAGTAATGTGGGGGTTGACAGATGAGGGAGGACACTGCTCGCAGAAAAATCGGGTTCTCATGACACTAGAGTCACGTTTCACACACTGGTCGCAGCTGCGTGCTCTGTCTGGTCTGACTCTTCTGTGCACGACCCTGGGCAACGGTCTGGCGAGAGGACTTGGGGTGTTTGAGTGTGCTGGGACTGGTGGGGTGGTGAAGAGGTAGAGTCAGAAGGGTGTCCACTAACCACTTAATTCTGCAGCAGTTTCAAAGAAATTGAGTGTCACACAATAACAGTCAAGGACCCAGGAAGAAAGAGTTTAAATTAGAAGTGACTAGTATTAAAAAGCTACTGTGCACCAGGTAGGAAGGAATATGAGAATATTAATATGCCCTGAAATAGAAATAATCACTTTGCACTATGTACACCACATACAATATAACATATTCTTTTTTAACATTGCACAATATAAATATTATACACGTGGAGTTAACTAAATGCGAAATACCTCTGAGGCACACAGAAAAAACATGGACTAGATTGAACTCTGATTAAAATCAAGATGGTAGGTTAGTAAAAGGCAGAGTGTTACATCGTCAGGCCAGTGAGCTCCTGGGCTGGCAGCCATCTCCCATATACACCGAACATTCTCATGCCTCAGTGTCTTAGAGTTGATTGCTTCAAAGACTAATTCGCTAAATACTTTGAGAAAATCAAACCGTTGCTCCCCACTCTAAAGCAGATGATCCCCTAAAGGTCCCTCCCGACCTCCGGGTTTGGTGATGAGGACTATGTTAGTACACAGCTGGGTTCCCCCTAGTTCTTGTGAACAACTTGGTTACTATGAAACCACTGGAAGGAACTAAAACAGTATTCAAGAACACCCATCACAGTGCTTAACAAGATTTAATGTACATTTATTCTTAACATGTGGAACATATAAAGATTTTATACTGAATAAATGATATTCATTAAGCCAGAGGAAAAGGAGGAATTTACATCAAGTTTTTTTCTTTTTTTTTTTTAAACTACATTATCTTGAAATACAAATGTGGATTCTCGTCACTGAAAAATCTTTGAAGTTGTGTTTCTTCCTTTTAGCTGTATTTTTTCCTTTTTGTCTGTACTGGTAACCATAGTCTAAATCAATCCATATGCAACCATTTCCACACCTTGATTCATGAAGCAAATTGTGATCAGCTGCTCTCCCGAAATAGAGCATGACTTTATACATACAGAAACTTGTACATTACCCTCTTTTTTTTTGTGGTTTTTTTTTTGTTTGTTTTTGTTTTTTGTATTTTTTCTTTCTTTTTTTTTTTTTTTTGGAGATATGGCCCTAATGAAAAAATATATAAAATAAAAATAAAAAATTATTTAAATCTACCATCACTTCGTAGTTACCACATCATGAAAAAGAAACTAAAAACTTTGTACTAAAAAAAAAAAAAAGAAAAGAAAAGAAAAAATGAGGGTATGTTTAATGTACAACTTCTATATACATCACAGCCCATAGGCAGTAAAAAAAAATATTTAAAAAATGATTAAAGGAATTGTGAAGAACTGCCATGTGGAAGGCAAATGACAGACAGCAGACATGACGGTAGTGGTGAGGAAGCAGTTTCCGTTGATCGTTGTCACGTATATATTTTCAATCTTAACTTAAAAAAACATTGGTTTTGCTCCTAGCCTCATGTAACCATTTTTCTGTGGAGAAACCAGTATCATTTTATAGTTTGACTACTGACTGACACACCTCCTTGAGCCCCTATTCCTACATCTCTAGAAGTTTCTATTGCACAGAGCTTTGGGCGATGGGATACAGTTTTTTTTTTTTTTCATTATCTGAAGAATAACATGCCTAGAAGTTGATAATTTTTCACCTTTTTGCCTCAGTGTGGTGAAATTTTCCCATCTTAGCATCTTTTGCCACAATTTTTTTAAAGTCAATTTGCTTCCCAAAAAAAACCAAAAAAATGCAATACAACATGGAAAAGAACATTAAAAAGAAAATCTGTGAAAAACAAAAAGTGACCTTTGAATGTACTAGACAGCAACTTTGGTTAAAAAAAAAAACAAAAACAAAAACAAAATAAAAACCCCCCAAAGGATGTACTTATACACACAGACAGCAAATATTAATTTCATAACTGTTCGAATTAATTATTTCTTTAATTCCCAATTGGTAAATAGTGACTGGGGCAGAGGAGCAGAGATTTTCTTTTCCTTCTTCCTACGCTGGATAAAGAACAGAAAACAGCCAGTTATACGGGAGCCTCTAGTCTTCACTCACACATGCTGCCTTCTCACGGGTGTCATAACTGCCCGATCTGAAACAGTACATCACAGATGACAGACGCCACCAGAGAGTTCAGGACGGCTGATATCGAGATATCCAGCAACCGGCCCTCGTGCAGAAGGAATTCCGAGCGGTTCTCGTCCACCCTGGCCATGGCCAGCAGAGCCTTGGCCGCCCTGCACATCATGTCCACGCTAGGTGGTTCTAGAGGCGGGGGCTGCATGTGCAGGAGGTTATGCTGGCTCTGCTGATACTGGGCCATGGTGACCCCATCCTCTAGGAAGCTTATCAAGTTTCCAATGCTCCCTTTCTGCACGGCTATCGCCCTTGCCGCCAGTGCGTCCCCTTGGGCAAGGTTCGATAAGAGAGCCATGGACATTTCTCGACAGACTGGGTTTTTGCGATCCCCAACGTACCTAACTAACGTCGCATAGAATTTCTCCTGACGACTAAATGGAGGCGTGGCCAAGATCAGGTCCACATTGTTGTCCTGGATACTGAGTTTACAGAGGGTCTCCAGGACGAGTCTCTGTGGCGACAGGACAGAGTTGGGTCCCACCGTTGGAAAGGGGTCTTGTGCCTCTGCAGACGGGCACACCATCCAGTGCAGCAAGCCATCCAAAATCGGCAAGCAGATGCTCTCTGTATAAGCAGACAAGTCTAGCTGCCCAGAAATGTTGGCCAATGTGACTAACGTGTTGTCCCTTAAGACCTCCAGGCAGTCCCACCACCACTCATCCTTGCTGCAGGCCACCCCTTTGTCCTCATCTTCCTCTTTCTCATAGGTCTGCGGCGCTCGCTTCCTCTCCGGATGCTCGTGGTGAAGAAGAATCAGCTTCCCCAGGATCAGCACCAAGCCTGGATGTTTGGACATCTCGGCGTCGTTGCCAGGCACAAAAGACAAGCTACGGACAATATTGGACACACAGATACAGCGCTTGGCCAGGGAATCCTGCCAGTGAGCGATGGTGCAGAGAGGAGTCTCGTCTCGGCTCCTTGGCTCGTCCTCCAGCAGCTTGATGTTCCGGTGACTTTTGGCTTGATGTATCCCAAAGGGGAACTTACCGCTCTCCGTCTGCGTGCTGGGGTTTGTGTCTTCAGGCAGCGCCCCCGGCCGAGCAGACAGGACATCGTCAATGGTTGCGATGATGCTTTTCTCTTGCTGCTCCTCGGCCTCCCCTCTTCCTTCTTGCTCTCTCTTCCTACCTGCGGAGCTTAGAGCAGGAGGAGGACGCCTACGAGGAGGGATTTCCATCTTGCTCTCAAAGTGAGTCTGGATGTGCTCGGTGGTGTCGCCGCCACCGAGCTGCCAGTGGAGAAGCCCACTGTTGAACTCCTGGACGCGACCCAGCTTGTCCGACCGGTCGATGACAAACAGGTTGTTCTTTTTGACTATCTTTATGGGCAGCTTGTCGAACTTACTGGCCTGCCGGGGCTTCTCCTTTGGATCTGCGGGGGCAGTGGGAGAGGCCAGAGTCACGCTGCTCCTCTCCGTCTCTGGCTTCCCACTGTCCTCCCTCGTCCTCATCCTCCTCATCCTCTTCATCCACGCACTCGGTGTCATCCTCCTCTTTCCCAGAATCGTCAGCCGACGACTGGCCATCTTCTCTCTTCACTGCATTGTGATCTAGTGCTTTCTGGCTGGGGTCTCCCACCTCGTATTCCATCAGAATTCCAAAGATGTCAATTAGGCATTTCCTAAAGTACTCTACTAAAAGTTCGAGAAATCCAGACAACTAGAAAGAAGGACAAGAACAAGAGCGGGTACAATGTCATCAGGTCAGGAAGGACTGAAAAGGGTCAATCCTGGTGGCTACCAACACATTTTTTTTAAGGGTAATTTTCACATGCTTTAATTCCTTGTTGGCTAGGCCAAAGAGAGACTACACACGAGTTAGAAAGGTCTCCCTGAATTTTATATTGTTAACGAAGCGAACGTTTACCATGCTTTCTATTTGCTGCTTACTTTCCCACTCCTTCAGTATGAAACCTTCACTGTTATTTTCTTATTTTTTAGTATTATCCGTTCTTTGCCTTTTCTTCTCATTTAGGTACAAGGCGCTCTATACTAGAAGAGTGGGAACCTGGATTTTATAGACTCATTCACCCAAAGTGAGTCTGTTCTCTTCTGCTATTTTATCTGAGACTTGCTTGCCTGGATTTTTATGGTTATTATTGTTAGGATTTTACGGTTATTTTTGTCTCAGGTGCCATAGGTTACTCTAATTTACATCCTCCATATATCTTTGGGAGAAGATAATTTCAGCAATGTAGTAGCTCATAAACACAGAAAATTAAAAACAAATCAATTTAGTCCCTGATAAATGAATTAGAATGTCTCATAGAATGCACTTTTACATTGCAGCTCTCACAACTGCAGCTGAAAGACAAAAGCAACTCTGAGAATCAGTTTTATGTCCCTTAAGCAAATGTTTGGCTCGAGAAAACCGATAACCCTGTGATTAGCCACTGCCCAGCTCTCCTCCCCCAATGCCCACCCCACCACATCTGGGTGGGTAGAGGACAGGTAAGTACAGAAGGATTCTTCAATGATAGGTGTTTTGGAAATCACCCATACTGTCATATCCTGCTCTCAATTTCTTGAAAGTGGATTTAGAACTGTTATTAAGAAGTAAGGGGACACTCAAGTACTGACCACAAAGTACTCTGTTTTTAGGGGATGAAGGCACAATTTTTCAAGTGAAGATCTGGGGGTTTGGACCCTCCCACCCCTTAAAGTTGACTTTTTCCCTGGGGGTAAGGGGTAAGTCACTAAAGCAATTCTGGTTATTAAAATGTGTGATCAATAGTAGTTCACTCTGCTAACCTAAGGATGAAAGGTCATTACTTGAGCAAAGGAAGTATATACAGTTTTTAGTATTTTCTGTTACAATAGGCTTCATGAGATGTTTATAACCTTATTAATACACTTCTGATCCAGTGAAAAACTGCCTTTCAGGGCTACGATGAGGACTTAAATATGAGAAGGAACATAAGGTGGAAGATTCTGGTCCAATGTCAAGAGAAGCAAGGTAATTAGATGTTTGGGCTTTTTTCACCCAAAGCAGAGAATTGTTCATCCACAGTAGGGAGAATTACCTTTCTTCATTTTTGTTTCTAAATATTTCTTTAAAAGTTTGTAGCTAAAAAAATAAATAAATAAAGATCGTAGCTCAGTTGGCTCTTGGGCATTTTGCCTAACCCTCTGCTCCCTTCTCTTTTCTAGCAGTTACACTGGAAGCTACATTAGGCCTACCACTGGACAAGGGAGCGCTTTAATCTTATTAAAAGTAGTAGGCTTTCACACGACTGCTTCAAAATAAGGTGGAGAGGCAGAAATGGAGGAAATGGACCAAGAAACGCTCCTGGCGCTGAGTTCACAACTATTTCAGCCAAATAGTGGGGCTATGGGGGTTCATTTTAAACTGTTCTCTCTACCTCTCCCTATAGCCTACATTTTCTATAATATAACATTTATTTTTAATTAAAAGAAAGAGGCCTGGTCTCCCTGGAAAGCAGGGTATGTCCCACAGAAAGCTCCTGCATACCCAATACTGACTCCAGTCCCAGCTTGATGATATATTTGGATTCTCTCCCGCCTGCCTGCTGACAGTCATTCTAAGGAACTCACCTTTACTATGGTCTATTCCACGTGTAAATGCACACGCACATATGTGCGTGCACACGAGGGGATAGTTTCTTTGTGATAAACACAAGTATGTGTGTGCTAATACTAGAGCGTGAAGTGACTTATTCCCAACTGAATTCTCTGGGAACGCCACGTCCGCTGGGGGCGCCAATCACCTCTCGCATTTGCTGACACACTGTGCACTACAGCCCTTTCTTAAGCCACTTGGGCCCATGGATGGGTTACCGACTTACCTGGGAGAGACTGAAGGTAGCGACGGTGCTGTCATCGTACAGGAGAATGTTAATAGTGTCCAGAGCCCAAGTACTTTCAGCCAGAAGACCTGACTTAAGGGACATCATCACACGCCAAGCCTCAGGAGTAACTAAAACCAGGGGAAAGATCAGGGCATAATTAATATTAACTCTATGCATGAAAGGACAGAAGAAAATAACAGAAGAATAAGGAAAGAGAAGGTGAGTGTAGGGGTGCCTGGGGGGCTCAGTTGGTGAAGTGTCTGCCTTCGGCTCAGGTATTGGTCCTAGGGTCCTGGGATGGAGTCCCACATTGGTCTCCCTGCTCAGCAGGGAGTTTGTTTTTCCCTCTACCCCTCCCACTGCTCGTGAGCTCACTCTCATGCATGCTCTTTTTTTCCTCTCAAATATATAAAATCTTTTTAAAAATTATAAAAAAAAACAACAAAAGAAGTCGAATGTTGAGTTAAATACTGATTTCAAACAAATGTTCTGAGGCACGGTGAAACGTGATCATTTCCATATTTTAAATGGAGGTGACAGTTTCCTAAAAGATTTTCATCATTTATGATCCTTTGGATGTGTTGGTTAAACATGAGCTCAACGTGCTGCTAGAGGTGGCTAGTGGCTAAGCACAACGGCCCTTCCTCATCTCTGATTTGTTTCCTTTAGCCCCTAACAGACTCTGTAATGATGCAGCTGAGTGTTAATAATTGAGTCAAGCCAAGAAATGATATTTGTCTTCTTTTGCCTGCTTCATTCACAAATGTCTTGGGGTGGCATCTTTGGAAGGCTGGCAAATACGCAGAATATAGGCAAAATTTAATTCCCAAACAGCACATTCTGGGATATACAGTCTTGACATTCCCTTGCTGTCCTCTTCTATCTGAGCCTCTGCCCTCAGAACACACTGTTGACAATTATTAGCACTTTGAAGGCTTGGATTTTTCAACAGCTTGCTCTGAGCCAGGGGATGGGAAACAGAAGGGCTCTACTTTTCTTTTCCCCCTTCCTGTTCCTGAAGAAGACAGAAGGATTAGATAAAACATTTGCAAGATTTGCCGTAAGATGGGACTAGGAGAAGAGGCCCATCGTATGTCTGAAATTTCTTTCTCAGGAAATCGGTAGGAGCATATGGCGTAAGCAGGCCGGTGCGATGAGAACCCACCAGAGCAACAGCCCACACCAGACGCCGGCAAGCAATCACACCCGCTGGAGGGGGCTGTGGGTTTCCACCTCTATTTTAATTTCATCTACTTTCCATATTTTCTAAGAGGCAATACTTTTGTAAGAGAAAAAGCAAATTTTCTTTTTAAAATAAGGAACATAAATTTCCCCAGGCTCACGACAAATGCTGATCTACGTGTGCAAAGAAATTTTATAAAAATTTCAATATGCTTATTTATTCAAACACACGCACACATAGAAACACATCAACACACAAACGCACACGCATATCCTCACATATATATTTCAATACAGAAAATGGTGCTCAGTGTCTGTCTGTGTTTCTTCTCAGCCCCAGCAGCCCTCTCTATAAAGTCCTGACTTCTCTCCCCCTCTCTGCCTGTATATGTCCTTAGTACCCAAGGCTGAAGAAAACCTTTAATAGCTTTGATTTTCTAGTCACTGTAGTAAATGATTTCAAATCAAGTGATTTCGAGGTTTTTGAAAAAACTTTTTTTTAATATAACCAAGGTCTCTAATGTCCTTTGCTATATTAAAAGTACTTCAAAAATAATGCAGAAAAACCGTGTTCTCCCAGATATTCCAGATCTCTGACTAGTATTCAGAACATCCTGAACAGAGTGAGGAAACATGAGCATCCACCTGAAAAAGCTCCTTGGCCCCTATCCAGCAGCGCTATAGGGGTCATGTCATTTCTACACATAACATATCAAACTCCGTATATCATACTATATATTTATCTACTTATCATATGCAGGCTTCTCCTTTGCCCCAGGGAAGCTCACTGTCTGTATGGTGTTACCAAAATGACAGAGTGGCTCACCTTCAAATTTTTTCAGGCCACCTCAGCATTTCATTAGCCTCTTGGCCGTTAAGCTCACACCGCAGAGATTAAGTGCTTGGCTGAGACCAAATCTTTGAGCTCAAAATGCAGTACAAAATATAGTCATGAGGATCCCCTGGTCTCTCACTTGGAGCTCTACTCTCTCACACAAATAACACTCATGTGTAAAAATACTGTTTTAATTCATGCTCCTCTTTGGCACTGTTTCTTAACTCAGATTAGCAGCTTCCAGCTCTTGCTCCTGTACAAAAACATGTCTCGATAGTTTGTCGTCATAAGAATTTGATCCCTTTGAGATTAAGAAGAGCTATATCTAAACTAAAATTAAAATTCTAGATCACAACCGGGATTCATTTCAGGACAAAGCCTGGAATGCTTACCGATATCTTTTGAGGTAATCTTCCGCCTTTGTTTCAAGACTGGCTGCGACGCCTCGACTGAGCCAGGAGGAAAGGTGATCTCCCTTCTGATGGGGGGTGGCTGGGGGGGCGGCCCTGTGACCTGGGGCGTGGGGACGGTGGGCAGAACCTTCTGCATCTTCAGAGATGGCAGAAAGGGAGACTTGCTTGGAGACATGCGGCTCTCCAGGGAGCGCTGGAAGGAGGCGGGGCTGGGGGCTCTGGAGATGTGATTTGGCAGTGATGGCGGCGTCTGGTAGGATGACTGAGGTGGGCGCGTGATGGGCTGCATGGAGGCGGGAGAGGACATATAAGGCTGACGTTGGCTGACGTGAGAAGGCCACTGGCTCTCGTGATTTATCCTTTGATCAGGTACCATCATATCATCCGTGCGGTTCATGCCTGGATAAGGAGGTGCCTGGGCGGGGCCGCCGGGGCCTTGCCTATTCTGGTAGGGATAAGGCATATCGTTGCGTGTCGCCCACATGCTCTGCTGAGGCCCCTCGCTGGAGGACGACTGCATCGGACCACCCATCATCTGAGGCGGGATCCCGTGGGGCTGTATTTGCCCGGGGCCCTGCATCCTCTCTCTGTTGTAGGGGTATGGATACTGTCCCTGGATGGGCCTCCTGTCTGGTCCGGAGTAAGAGCTCCCATACTGGTTATACATCTCTTGCTGTTGGTTGCCATACTGCATGTTGTACATGTCTCCCTCGTGGCGTTTGGCTGGAGGCCCATACATGCCGTCCATATGGCGTTTGTAATTCTGAAATCCATATAAAGACAAATCATACTGATGTGCTTTTACAGGTATAATCACACACTTAAATTATGCAAAACAGTTATTACCTGGTGGAATGTTCATTTCAAAATGAATATGGGAAGCTCCTAGAACAACTAAGGACTAACAATTTATGCACTCCATTTTAGGATTATATAATGCCATGTCACAGACTCCAAAGAGGGTTTCCAAAATTTGTTTGCACAGGCTTGAAATTTTCTGTGGGGAAAGAAAGGCTTCCTCTCTCTTCTTCCTGTATTTCTTCCCTTGGCATTTGCCAAGGCTGCATGACAGGAGGACACAGCTTTGGTGCCCCTGCCACGGGCAGTGCTGGGTGGGGGCCTGGAGCTACACAGAGATGCCTCTGTAGGTAGGAGAACCCGCACTGGAATGGCCTGAGTTTCCGAGGGCCAGCCTGAAAGGCTCCTGGATTCAAGGGATTTCTTAGGCCTACCTTTACAGAAATGTCTCTGTACAAGCATCCACTCCTCAGACTGGACCTGCTTATCTGACACCCTACAGCTTTTGGCCCCCACCCTGACTTCCAGTGGTACACGTCAGAGTCTCCCCTGAAAGCCCCATGGGTCCCAGGCTCTGTCAACTGGGCCCATGTAGCCTGTGTTATGAGGCTCCCCTCCTGGGGACACCCTGAGTACCAGCACTTGATCAGGGTGAGAACCTCCCAATGTGAGAGAGATGCTGATGTAATAATTAGTGTTCTTTCGCCTTACTTGGAGATTGTTTAGGATCAGTTGGCTTAATAATACAGTTCACTGTACACACGTGCTCCAGTAAAACTGAATGTTTAAAACCCCCTCTATGTCACCTAAGGTCTTCACCTGAAATGTGGTTTAGAAACAACAGATTCCTGGGGCACCTGGGTGGCTCAGTCAGTGGAGTATCCCAGCTGGGTTTGGCTTGAGTCTTGATCTCAGGTGGGTGGGTTCATGGGATTGAGCCCTGCATCAGGCTCACCCCTCAGCAGGGAGTCTGCTTCCTCCTTCTCCCTCTCCCTCTGCCCCTCCCTCCTCACACTTATTCTCTCTCTCTCTCTCCCCTAAATAAATACCACCTTAAAAAAAAAAATAGAAATCCCTGCTTCTGAACAGCCACAGCATAACATGAAATTCTGCATCAGTAGTGACAAGTGCAAAGTTATCTTACACAATTCAGTATCTGTGGCTGCGTTAAGTCAGCAGAAACCTATCCTATGTTGGCAAAATATAGGGGTAATTAATATCTTATTTTTTTAAAAATTTTTTTAAATTTATTTATTTATGATAGTCACAGAGAGAGAGAGAGAGAGAGAGAGAGAGAGAGAGAGGCAGAGTCATAGGCAGAGGGAGAAGCAGGCTCCATGCACCCGGGAGCCCGATATGGGATTCGATCCCAGGTCTCCAGGATTGCGCCCTGAGCCAAAGGCAGGCGCCAAACCGCTGCGCCACCCAGGGATCCCAATATCTTATTTTTTTAAAAGCTGATTAACTTTCAATATTGGTATATAATTTTTTAAATTGTTTTTATCTACACATCTTCTTTAAAACATTGACAAATTTGTTCTAAAATGGCATTTGCTAGGACAATGCATACAACAGACACATGTTTAAACTATACTTTACTTGGGCTGATTATTACATACAAGGTTGAATGTCCTTTACTTTTTACAACATGTTATATATTTGTTTTAGGATACCATACATCAAGAGCTTTCGAAAATCTGCTGACTTCAAAATCCTAATAATGTTTTCTAGCATAAGCATATGTATCAGGATTGTTCAATAAATGCTACTTGTTTTTAACTTTCTAAAACTCTTCTGAAGTAATACAAGTTTGAGTTTTAAACAGAAAGCACAGAACTGCATGCCCGCTCGCCAACTCACCGGCTGCTGTGGATACAGGCCGGGCTGGTGTCCTCCATATGGCGGCTGTCCTGAGGGAGGGCCTTGGCCTGGGTACTGCTGCCCATAAGGTTCATGCCTAGAATGAGGCATTCAAAGAACACTTCATTTTCAAAGAACCTCAGGCCAAGAGAGAAATAAACAGTTCATTTCTGGAAATCCTGCACCCCTCGGTGGTTTTGTCTTTCCTTCACTGCACACACCTTCCAACAGAGGCATGCTGAGCAGAAACAGCACTTTAACTTTTAGCTAAAGGGATGGCAACACCCATTTTGGGAATGCTGCCAATCTCCTAGTTAGTAGGTGTGTGAGGAGTCCTGGCCGGACAGGCTGGCACCCAGTGCCTTTGAGGAGAGTCCCCACCCAGCCACCGACGCAGACCCAGGTAGTGAGCGTCATGCAACACCAGGACAGGAGGTATTAATGAGAGTAAGAGACAAGAAAAACAATCTAAGAATCAAAGCAGGATTTCTAGGACTACCAGAACTTAGCTCTACAATCACAGAAAACATCTCTATTTATTTTCTCATTATGAATACAAAATGTTCAATTTTTAAAAAGTGTACTCCACAATTAATCTAAATGATACTGAGTTAGCTAATAATTGTAAAAACAGAACTCGTTAAAATTTTGAAGCCCCATGACCCTAAGAGGCCATAGAAAAATGTAAGAGAGGACTTAAAAAAGTGACAGGGCTGATTTAAATATGCTCCTATTAAATCTGAAAATGGGAAGGAAGAACATTTATTTTTCAACTTCTATTACATTGAGAAACTATAAATACCATAAAAATAGCATGTGTAAAAGAGCAACAGATTGGAAGTTTAAAGGGATAAAAGTTAATATACCGATTGAATCCTGTAGGAAGGAAGAGATGCTTGCACTGAATATATTCCTAAACTGGTCAAGGAGTGAGAACAAGAAAGAAAATAAATGAATTCTGAGAACATCGCAGGTAAAACAGATACAAGGGAAGGGTTTGCTAAGGGTGTTAGTAATTAGAAGGAAGCTTACATTAGGAGGAAAGAAATATAACTGACATAGATAAAATTTAAGCTGAACAAGTAACACTTCAGGAAGCATAACAAGGTAAACTCTAAAGTGGTAGAGCCAAAATGGCGTAAACTAGCTCTAGAAAGCATTCTAGACGAAACAGAGCAGTACATCTGCCTGAGTTCCTCTAAGAATATATGTTCTAGGATAACTTCTCCTCAGCCAAAAAAAAAAAAAAAAAAAAAAAAAAGAAAGAAAGAAAGAAAGGTTCTCTCCTGGATCTTCAAAAACAAATCTAAATAAAATCCCTGATCCAGTACACTCAAGACGATGGGTAACTGATTAATGCAGACATTGCAAATAAACATTCACCACACCACAGCCAGGGTTAAGAACGAGAAGTCTGGATTCTTAGTAACTACTAGCAAGTACCAAATCAATTAAAGCTTGTGATGGCTCTGTAATCTCAAGAAACAGGTGCATGGAAAATGCCAGAAAGAAAGCTTATTTGGGAAGTGATTTTCAAACTTTCTTCCCCTTTGTGTTATACCAGCGGAAACCTCACGACTCTCACAACTGAAGCCTCGCCCACAGCCAACGTGTCGGCTGCTTGGAGGAGGGAGTCTGAGGAACACCACCACCACCCCGGATTCTGAGGGAACGGAGCCGAGGCTGTCCTCACCCTGTGGCTACAGTTAGAAAGAGAGCCTTCTAATGTGCCTCCATTTTCTTTAACAACCACAAACATCATGTCAAAGACTTTGTTCCTGAGTGCTTCTGTATTTAAGTCAGGGGGACAGGTTAAGGGGCCCTCTTCACAGAAAGTCGCTTACCATAACCCGCTTTTCTGCTACCTCTCAGAGACTTTTCAACAACTTTCCTTCTATCTTAGTAAAAATAAGTTGGATGGGCACCGAAACCCAGCTTGCTACTGAATGTCCAGATGCCATCCTGAAAAGCATCTGGAGAAAGACAGTGGAGGCTTTCCTCAGAGATGTTTTCTAAGGAGCAAAGTGTTCTTGCTGTTTAAAATTTTCACAGAGAAGAATGGCAACAGCTGGAAAGCCAAAGCCAGGAAGACTTTTCCCAGAGCTTACCGAGAGCCCGAGGCTCCTGGGAGCCCAGCATAGCCCCCATGAACAAATCTTTCCCGAAGGAAGAGATGCAGGCAGGAAGGGGGTGGGGTGGGGCCATAGAACCTGAGTTTGTGGTGGGTCACACCAGAGGAGCCACTGAGGAGGCTGGAGGTGTTGTTTGGGGGTGTGGGGCCAGGGGCTGCCCCAGGAGGGCACCCTGATGCTGGGAGGCCCACCGCTGCTTGGGACCAGCCAGCTCTCAAGAGGCCTTCCCCGTGGTCCCGATCAGGTCATCTGCTGAAGGCAGCCACCCCACAGAGTCCTTAAGCCCAGAGGAGAGCAGGCTCTACATGTTGTCAGGAATGTATGTGTGAGGAGAGTGCAGCGTCTAGGAAACCTTCCTAGGGTCACCTTAGAAGACACCCACCTTCGATCATAACTGGCTCCGTAGGGAAACTGCTGCCGCTGCCCCATGCCCAGGCTGGACATCGCGCCAGAGGGACTTTGGTTATACATGTCCTGCATACTGCTAGTGGGCATCTGTCCTTGAGTCATGAAGGGCTCACTGCTTCCAGGCACTGCAACATTTTAAAGAACAGATATAAAGTTAAGCATTTTCAAAGACCAAGGGGCCCAAACAGCCCTTCCAGTCATTTCTGTTACCCTTAGTATTGCCAACATTTATCTTATTCTTAATATGCCTACAACAATACAAACCAAAGAGTGTACGGTCTGGAGTCAAGATGGACCCCAGGATCCCTACCCCCCACCCCGCATACAGGCCTCGGATGAGCTCCTCCTTCCCTTGAGTATGAGTAGAACCCACCAATATGATGGGGATACTGCTCCCATGATTACATTATATAACTAACGAGATTTCACAGATGTAACTAAAGTTACCAATTAGCTGACTGGCAGGCAACTAAAAGGGAGATTATCCATATGTGCCCCTTAAATCCACCTAGAGGTCAGAGACACCCTCCTGCTGGCCTTGAAACAGCACCCACCACGCAGGGGAGAGGGCCCTACGTCAGGAAGGGTGGTGAATCCCAGATGAGTCATTACGACGAGACCTCAGTCCTGCTACTACAAGGAACCAAAACTGCCAACAACCTGCACAAGCTCTGAAGAGGACCCTGCACTGCACATGAGCTCAGTCCTGGCCGACACCCTGATGTCTGAATGGGAGACTCTGAGCTGAGGGTCCCCAGGAAAGTGGGATCCTATGCTGACACTGCTTCAGGCTGAGAGGTCGTGGTAATTTGTTAGAAAGTAATGTAGAAAACAAACACTGGCCCTTTCCTGTGTTTCCAACTTCTGAGTTGGATTCCTTGTCTATAAAACAAGGTTGGTAATGTCATCTCATGCAGCAGTTGTGAGGAAAAGAAATGCACATACAGGTGTCCCTTCATGTAGGGGTTAGGGGCACTGACCCCCACAAAAGTGAAAATCTACGTATAACTCTGGACTCCCCCCAAAACTTAACTACTTCTAGGCTACAGCTGACTAGAAGCCTTACTGATAACGCACACAAGTAACACATATTTCATATGTTACATGTATCCTTACAATAAAGCTAAAGAAAAGAAAATGTTAGGAAGATCATTAAGACAAAATACATTTACAGTACTGTACATCTATTTATTGAAAAAAAAAATCTGTGTTTAGGTGGGCCTGTGTAGCTTAAACCCGTATTACTCAAGAGCCAACTATATGAATAAAATTAGTTCCCTCACTTAGAGGGGGAAAAAAAGTAAAAACTTTAACATGGATGTCCATCTACTGACTCACTGCAAAATCAGGATAAAGAAAACCACTAGGGAATTAAAAATAACTCAAGAATGGATGAAATACAAGTATTTCTACCAGGGCGTAGAGTGGCAATTAGGTCAAATATGCAAATTAGCATCAGCTCAGAGCCTGAAGGAAATTGGGTCAAGCCCAGAAACTTGCCTGTGGGCAAATTAAACATTTTAATGCAAATCTTAATTGATATACAGTACTACTACCTTTCTTCATCCTAGGAAGGTTACTTTTATGTTACATGAAGCAAAAGCTGATTAAACTTCAGTGAACTGATAGAATTCGTTAGGCTGGAAGAGAGGCGCAGACAATGAAGTTGAACGCGGGTGGGATGCACTGTGCTTTGTGGTGTGCTTTCCTATACTTTAATTTATTCAAACTCAAGTCACCATGCAGCAGAGGAAGTTTTGATGTTACTCTCCAATTTATAAATGTAAAAACAGAGACAGACAGACATTAATGGGGATAATTAAAACTAAATGGCTTAGTTCCTACAAACACAAAAAATTCTTCATCAGTAAAAAAAGACAATCAGACTACAAAAGCGGGCAAACAAACAAACGGACATTCAGAGAAAAAAAGAAAACTAAGTGGCCAATCAAAATATGAAAAAATGTGCGACTTCACTAATAATTAAAGAAATCCAAGTTAAAACCATTATGAGGCTGTTCCCTCCCCCAGTCTGATTGGCAAATATTAAAAGGACTGGTAAAAATCATTCCTGGTAAGGGTAAGGGAGTGAGAGTCCACATGCTCTTATATGCTCACATTAAGAGTATTAAATTGGTGTAACTTTTGTCAATACCTGCTATGGTAGGGCTCTATTTTGGTGACGCCCAAGGAAGCACATCTCTGGGTATTTACAGCCCATGAAGTCCCTGCTCACAGTGAATTTGGGCCTGGTCATGTGACTGGCTTTGACCTATGGGGTACTGGCAAATGTGATGCAGCAGAAGGTTGTATATGCTTGCATCTGGGGCTTGTCCTCTTGAAGTGCTCCTTCTTGTAACCTATCCACCCTATCAGGAGGCACCCAAGAAGTTCCATGGGGTGGCGCCTGGAGGAGGCCTCTAAGCAACAGTTCCAGGTGAGTTCCCAATAGAGATTCTGGATGACACCAGCCACTCAAGTGACATCCCAGCTCTGGAAGAGTTCTCAATCAGGCTTCCAGATGACAGCCTCAATGTCCCAGCTTATACAACACATGGAAAGAAGAGCCACCCCACCCACCATAGAACTGTGAAATATAACCAAACATTGGTGCTTAAAGCCACTTTTTGTGGTAGTTTGTTATGTAGTAAAATATACTCAGTAAACTAAAAAAAAAAAAAAAAAAATCATATCCCTTGATTCCATTATTCTTTTAGGAATCCATTTCATAGAAATACTCTTATGGGTGTGAAAAAAGAGCTGCATCATTCAATAACCATTGCACCACTTTTTTATAACAGCAAAATATTATGAAACAAACCATTCAGTACTAGAGCATCAAAAAGAAAAAGTACGAATGTCTGGGTGGCTCAGTCAGTTAAGTGTCTGCTTTTGGCTCAGGTCATGATCCCGGGGTCCTGGGATCCAGCCCCGAGTCAGGCTCCCTGCTCAGTGGGGAGCCTGCTTCTCCCTCTCCTTCTGCCCCTCCCCCACTGCTCATATCCTCTCTGTCTCCCTCTCAAACAAATAAATAAAATCTTAAAAAAAAAAAATAGAAAAAAAAAAGTAGATGGAGTGCCTGGGTGGCTCAGTCAGTTAGGTCTGACTCTTGGATTCAGCTCAGGTCATGATTTCAGGGTCGTGAGACTGAGCCCCACATCAGGCTCTGCACTGGGCATGGAACCTGCTTAGGATTCTCCCTCTCCCTCAGCCGCTCCCCACCTTTTTCTCCTTCTGAAAATAAAAAAAAAGGAGGATTATGTGTAAAGATATTAGATATTTAAAGTATACTGTTTAGATATCCAACATATCACTATTCACTTGTTATTCACTTGTAAGCAATTAATCAATCCTTCAATCAGTAATGAATTCCGGAGGTTAGTGGGAAGGCAGGTTGGTGCAGTCAAGGCTGCTTTGGCCACCAAGGCTCAGACAGGCTCTGGCATTTGCTCCATCACCCCACTGCAGGTCAGTGGCAGCAACAGCAAGGAAGAGCACAGTTTCCCCTGATGCTGGTCATTACGTGAAAAATCAACAGCTCAAAGTGTCTGAGTGGCTCAGCTGGTTAAACATCTGCCTTTGGTTCAGGTCATGGTCCCAAGGTCCTGGGACTGAGCCCCATGTTGGGCTTCCAGCTCAGTGATGAATCTGCTTCTCCCCTTTTCCCCTTTTCCCCTGCTGGTGCTCTTTCTCTCAAATAAATAACATCTTTTTAAAAAAGGAAAAAATCTATTTTCTGTGTTTTGCTTTAATTTGGTGCTAAATAGACCAGCCCTGTAAGGTAGCAGGTGAGCTGAAATATCCCGGGGAAACATGAGAAGGAGCTCCCCTCTGAGCCCCTGTATCATTTACACTGTTGATGAAAACACATTATGCAGCCAGCTAGTGCCTAACCAGGTAATCCACAATCATCCCCCATCCCCCATTTTTCATAATAAGAAAAATTGTAGGCATATAGAAACAAAAGCAATGCAACTCTCGTTGTCCAGTACAGCAAATAGGTGGGATATTAGAATGGTTCACGTAACATCTGAAACCAGATTCCAAACACTACCATGTTACCCAAGTTACTGTCATATTTTCAGAGTCTAAAATGTGATATAACCACCACCAGCACTAAACAAAATGTTCTAGTATCTCATACCACTAAGAAAAATGGCCACTGCCAACATTTACAAGGCTTTTCAATTTCTGAGCTTATGGATTTATTGCATGTTCTGCAGAATACTTACTTGGAATAGGCAGCTCTAAAACTTTTTGAAAGGAAAAATTATAGATTATCTTACTCAGTATAAGAGCTAGCTAAAATGTTACATAAGAAATATCTGTATTAAACATAATTTCATTTCTTAATTAAATGATACATGCCTAATACTTAAAATTTTGAAAACACTCATGTTTATTTTTCACTGGTCCATACTAGTTGTGAAAACCATGGTTTTGGGCTTTATGTTTCTCTCTACTTAAGACCGTATGTCCAGAAATTCGCATATCCCAAACACCCAAGTGGGACAGGAGTACTATTGTTTAAGGGATCCCAGAAGAAGTACTTCTGTAAAAACAGTATCACTACTTTTCTGTATTTTTTCGATGATATTCACATCGTGCCTCTATTTCACAGCCCGGCTGCATTTGGAAGAGTGCCAAAGAGCACTGGGAGTGGGCGTGGAGCAGCCCAAAGGGCAGAGGTTCAGGTCATTCTCAGGGCCAAGTGCACGATGGGGAAGATCAGCCTAAGGGAGACCCCTGCTGGGTGTCTGCTAAGTCAGTTGGAACTGTCCCATGCTCTCTGTGATCTCACCCACCCCGCACTCCTCCATCTCACTGCTCTGCTTAGTTTCCTAAAGTGATTCCTCATTCCAAGATTCTGCCTAGCTTCAGGCAGACAGACAGACAGACACTCCACCACCTATCATCACCACACATCCCAAAGTCCCCTTGGGCGGTCCCTCTCTGTTCCCCTCCCTCCCGTCCACAGCGCAGGCCCTAGCGGGGGAGCCTCCACATCCCACTAGTGCATCTCCAAGCTAGTGACGTCGTCGCCCTCTCGGGGCCTATCACTTGGTTCATCCCCCTCCACCTCCACATTCAATTCAGCAGCACAGCCTGTTCTTCCTACGTTCAGACCACGGAGCCAATGCGTCTACTTCTCTCTTCACTGCTGGGATCTGACTGCACCTTGTCATCTCTCCCCTGGACTCTCACAATGTCCCTCCAACACATTCTCCACAGATGCCACATATTTATTAATACGGTTTTATTCGTTTGACAGAGCCAGAGAGAACATGGGGTGGGGGGCGGTTAGAGGGAGGAACAGACTCCCTGTTGAGCAGGGAGCCTGATTGGGGGGGGGGGGGAGCTTGATCCCAGGAACCTGAGATCACAACCCTAGCCAAAGGCTTAACCAACTGAGCCACGCAGGCACCCCACCAGTTATTTATTTATTTATTTATTTATTAACAAAAAAACCTAGTCATGTCACTTCCTGCAGAACATCTTTCAGCTAGGGTAAAAATCCAACTCATCCACACACCCAGAAAGGCTGAAAGGTTCTGGCTCCAATGGCCCATGGCTTCCCAGAGTTTGGCCTGCTTGCCCCTACCTGGCTCATTGTGCCTCAGATGCCTTCCACCTCCTCAAACACACTAAGCTGGCTCCTGCCCTGGGCCTTCCCCACTTTACACTCTTCTCTGACTCCTCATTCCTCAGGTCAGCAGATAACCTACCTTTCCTCAAAGCCTTCCCTGCCCTCACCTCCATGATCCGCAGCCAACATTGCTGCACTTTGTGTCCTTTCTTCCTTTTTGTTTCTTTTCCATCGACTACCATATTTAATTATATTTTTGTGATTTAACTTACTTTTTTGTTTGTTTCCCCAAGACCCTGCCAACTCCAGGAGGAGCTATGTCTAATTTGCCAACATACTGCCCAGTACCTAGCCCTTGCCCAGCCCATGCTATTTAGCACCCCCGCCACTAGGGAGCACCACATGAGCACTCTTGCTCACTGCCTGTGCCAGGCATTCTTCAACAGGGTTTTGGTACATTAACTCAATTAAGCCTCATCACACCCTTTAGGCAGGTCCTATTATTATCCCAATTTCTAGATGAGGAAACTGAGGCACGGAGCTACTGCGAACTTTCCCCAAGGCTGGGAATTTAGTAGGTTGAGGAGCTGGGACTCAGATATGTCTCGAATGGGTAAGTGAATTGGTTGTGGGATGGCAGAGGGAAGAATGCCCTCTGGACCGAGCCTGAGCAAAGGTCTCCCTGCACTTACCTTTTCTCATTCCACCAAAGGGGTCTTTGTTGGGTTCATAGGGCATCCTTCCCATCACATCAGGCATGCTCATGCCCTGCTGGTATGGGGTGCTTGGAGTCATGGAGTTCCGTTTTGGGAATGATGAATCACTGGCATCTGAGAATGGGTCGTGCACACTGACTGTACTGCTTCTAAAGAGACAAGAAAAATGAAATCTTCGTGAAATAGCAGGAGATGCCTCCAAATGCTTGTTCAGAAAATAGGCCTAACTTGAAAATGTTTAATGTAAAAACCATCCCCTAAAATTACATGAATAAAACTAGTAGTAATCAACATTAAGGACACACACTTCTTCTTTACAGACAAAGCTGATGTCATGTGGCTCACAGAGATCCTTTTGCATACCTTCCACCTTGCATCGGGGTCATCTGTCCGTGAGGGGTGGAGGCTGGGGTCGGTGGCTTCAGGTCACCTGGAACCTCTGCCATCGAGTTACTGCCAGTTGACTGGGGGGTCTGTGGACCTTGCAAGGATCCTGAGTTAGCTGACAGTAGTAGTACCAAGAGAAAATAAGAAAAAAAAAGAGAAGTTATCAAGTAAGCTCATCCTTCCTACTAATTAAAAAAAAAAAAAAGGAAAGACAACACGACACCATCTTATTAGAAATAGTAACAATATCCATTACTGGTAACGACACAGTAAAATTAGTTGCTCTTATATTGTTTATAGTGAAAATTTGTAAAAGTTGTTTGTTTTGTTTTGTTTTTAGTAATCTATTTGGCAACATACTTCATTTGTGAGCCATAAAACATATTTATACCTCTTGACTGGGTAATTGCTTTCCTGGGTATTTATCTCAAGAAAATAATCTAATATAAAAGAAGGCTTTAGGCAGAAAAAAATGTTTATTTCAGTGTTGTTTATAATGGAGATAATCTAAATGTCTGAGAGTAAGGAAAAAAATGGGATGAAAAATTCGGTATACTGATTTGATGGACTATTGTGCTATTTTAGGAAAAAAGTCAGAAAAATTACTACCAGGTCTTAGGCAATGAGAAATGTTTAAGTTGAAATGCAATGATACAAATTTGTAATGAGTCTTATATCACTTCAATGCCTCCTCAATGTCTGTGCTATGTCATTAATAAAGTCATTTTTAGAGCTCTAGAATCAGATTTGTTATTACAAAACCGAAGTCATGCTCTTTGGAGTTCTTTAATGTCATCATCAGAGTCCTGAGATTTGGCTTTAACTATAATTACACTATAATAACAGAGCTCAGTATTGAGCGGATCTTTTTAAAACTTAAGTACTCACCTCATTGGAAAACATAGTATTTTAAGGGTTCCCGCTTTATCACTGACCTTTGCATGTGAGGTGCCCGATAGACACTGCCTACATTTATTAATTCAACAAATACTTATTGAATAAATAACATGCTTACTACATTGCTTACTATATTGCTTTTTTTCTATTCCTGGATGCACCAGTGTCCTAAACTGACAAAAAGGACAAAAATTCCTGCCCTCATGCAGTTTATAATAAATGCTTTCAGAACTGTTACAAATGGCAGAAATTACTGGCTGCTTGTCAAAGATGATACTGTATATGTTATTATCTGGAGTCCCTTTCCTAGGAGTGTCCGACACTCACTACAATTACCATCAGCCACATTTAACTGTAGAGGAAATGGGGTTCAACAAATCACTGGAGATTACAGAGTGTGCTGGGAAGGAGCCCGAGGTGGAAATTAGTCCAGCTCTTCCAGTCAGAAAGCCTCAGCGGAACACAGAGGTCTCCAGTGAGATCAGGTCAGCCCTGGGCCTGGCCTGCTTGGGAGTGAATCTTGAGCCCTGGCCACCAGGGCCCTGCCTCCTGTGCAAGGTGTACGCTGGGTGCCCGGGACTAGAGTGACTCAGGGCAGCTCTCAGAGATGCCGGGAAGACTAGCTTGAAAAGTAGATCATCTTTTTAATGTAGATATCGCCAAAGAAAAGCTTAGTAACACATGCTTATAAATCAGATTTTGGTGAAACCCTACATATTAAATAAGTAGATCGTAATAAAAGAAAAAAAGTGGAGTCTTCTATAAATATGTAAGGATAAACCTACAGATGTGACTGCCCCACAGAGCTGGCAGGAGAAATAACGTGCTCCTTAAATCACAGACCACACTCCACAGCAGCCTGTGCGGCTTCCCTGGAAACATGGTTCACAGGCTGTGATTTCAGAATGACCCTTATTTACAAGTATTCACATTTACAGCTAATAAAAAAAAAAAGGAAAAATTCTTCCCTCTGCCAGTGTTTTTTCCTCTCCTTTCAGGAAAAAAAAAATGAACACAACCTCTTGAAGCTCCATTAATAGACGAGGCTGGCACACTCTGTAGGCTCTCCCTACCTTTTGCCAGAAGCTACAAATGTATACTCGAAAGTAAACAATGGAAAGGTTATTGAAGGTTAAGTACATTCACACACTTCAGACTGTACAGCCAGACTCCTAGCTGGGAAGATAATTTACACAGCACGAACCTGGTGCCCTAGTTCTGGCTGGGGTTTTGGGAAGGAGGGCAGGGAGAAGGAAGGAGAGCTGATATGTCCCAGGTCTACAGTGACTGGAGGTCACCCAGAGGGCACCTTTGTTTATAACCTGAACCTCTTTCTCATTTATCTTCCACTGAGGATTCCCTAGTTGGATCCATGACAGGTTTTGTGACATCACCTGTCAGCTAATAATAGAAATGCAGTCAGCCACCTGCCAGCAAAGATGGATGGGTTTTTGGTTACAGACTTACTAATTGAATGTGGAGCTTCCTTGGCCCCCCTTTACCCAGCCCCCACCCTACCCCACCCCAGCTTCCAGGCCTCCCAGGCCACTTGGGGAGGTGATTTCTGCAGCTGTTCATTAGAACTCCATGAACTTTTATAGGCTTATTATAACGAGATCCCCACTGGCACCTCAGAAATGCAACTGTACCCCAGGCCTTGCCCATGTTTCATCTGGGAGCTTCCCTCAATGGACTCGCCCAAGTCACTGGAAGACAGTAACATGGAGCTCTGGCTTGAGAAACCACACAGTCCCTATGGTGCAGATCACGGGCCGAGGGGTTCTACCTCCCAGAGGCTGGCGGAAAGGAAGTTCAGTCCACACTCGCCACACCAGATCGAAACCGGAATACAGATGGATGACACACAACGCTAGTGTAGCCAAATGAGCTGGGAATTCAGGTGGCTTCAGAGTGGCCATTTAGAAAGCAATCTAGTACTTTTCTTAGGAATCTTTTCATTTAGTTTGGATGTGTCGATAAGAAATACACTATAATTACCTTCATAGGGGGAGAATGGACTTCTAAGAACACAAATGCTGGCTGAAAATTCATTTTTAAAAATTGTGTAGTGTAGGAGACCCTGACGTGGCAAATGGTGGGGGAATAATCTTGTTTCCTTCATTGACAATAAATATATTTCGTATTCTCTAATGATTATTCTGGTGTCAGAGAGGCCACGGACTCATGGGTGTCAGGGAAAAGTGTGGTTATGGGTTCTGGGGCTGATGTTCCTCACTCCCCTGCCGGCCAGTCTGTGAGTCCTTCCGTCTGTATGAGCAGGGTGTGGAGAGCGGCCTGGCCCCATGTGCTCTGCGTGAGGTCGCCTGGGCCATGCCCTGACCGGGAGACTGGGCTCAGGACACCCTCCTCCTCCTGCTTCTTGATTCACAAGACTCCGGACCATGTGGACCATGGAAAATGCGTTATCAGAAGTGCATCTGCAATCCAAGCTCCTTTGTGCAGTTAAAACGATAATGTTGCCATAAAAACGGTAGTTTAAAGAAAGGGAAAAAGGAAAGAGCTGACTGTTGAGAGAACAGGCCCTCCACTTTCTGAAGGGTCTATACCTCAGCGGGATTTCTTGTACTGAAGCTGATGCTCACTGGGAGAGCTATTCTCCATACAGAAGTGCAGCCCATTCAGTGACATGAGTTTTTCCTGGCAAATAAAATATACCTTTACATCTTTGCAGACATCGCCACTTTGGTCCCTACACCCCACTGAGTTTTTATTTTGGAAAAATAGTTTCAGAGCTGTTCACAGGCAGCTTGTTTTACCCTGTGAACTGAATGTAATGTTGTGAGACTTTTAAAATTAGATTTCACAGTTTTAAGGTAAACCAGAACTGCAAAGGCTCAAATCCTTAAGGGTGGGGCTGAGAGAGCATTTCTAATTGTGTTTTGAACTGACGGGTCTAAATATATAACCCAGGTATATTCCCTACAAGCGCATCTTGGCCCTAAGAAGTATTTATGTGTGATCTCTTGATTAGTGACCGTAGGTACTAGATTGCCATCCAGACAGCAGAGAAACAAGGAGAAAACAACTTCTTTCTTTGGATCACAGACACCTTCTTCTACGCGTGGAAGGTTTCCCTATTATAATGCCACTTCAGACACAGGCAGAGGAATACAGTAGGTCCAGGCATAATGCTCGAGCTAGGTGCCACTCACTTAGCAATGAGATTTGGGGACAGTTACTTAGATCTTGTGTGTTAGTTTTCTCATGGACTTTGAGACAGTATGTGCACCATAGGGGTGATGTAAAGATTAAATGGTAGAGCACTTAAGAAGGAGCCTGGTACATTGTAAGTACCTAAGAAATACTGGCATTTGATCCCAGAACAATCTTGTGTGTTAGGAAGCGGCAGGAATTGTCAGTCCCATCCTGTATGCAGGACAGTGAGGCTAAGTGCTGACCATCACAGGGCTTGGATGTGGCCAGGCAAGAAGACAGCTGGATTTAACTTGTGTGAGGTCACCACCCAGATCTATGGGTGATGAACGTCTCTTCCTATCTAAGAATACTGTATTCAGTAGAAGACAGTGATTCAGGAATCTGAAATGCTAACAGGTAGAAGAGAGGCTACCGGGGGAATTGAGAGAACAGCAGGGTCTCCACGGTGGAGTGGAGAGACAGGAGAGGAGGGAGGTATCGTGGGTTTGGTTTTGCTCAGGAGACTGTGGGTGAACTGCATTATTTCCAGGTAGCATTCTTAAGGCTCTTGACCTCGGGTCTGAGCTAACTGGCTGCTGGGCCTCAGAAACAGGGCGGCAGGGACCTCCACCATGACAGGTCTGCTGGATTCCCTACAAGTGGGAATTTGCTGGGCAGGACAACATTAAAAACTGAGTCCGGATTTCATTTTGCTGCCATATGATGCAGAGTGTCTTTGACAGAAGCAGGACTGGTGGAAGCTGGCTGCTAAACTTTCAGGGCAGTGTTTTCTGGTAGAACCAAAGTATTCACAGGGGTAACTGGGGCGACTGGTTTTTGACAGTTAGACGGAATATTTTTTAAATATGTGGAGAAGGAAGAAAGGTATATAGCTCAGGCTTCCAGAGTCTCTTTTGATGAAGGAAGGTAAGACAGGAGAATGGTGCCTTGGCCACAGTGGCCCAAACAGCCACATCGCAGATTATATTCTCTGTTCCCTTAAGCGCTGCCAACGGGGGTTCCCTTACAAAACACCCCTTATCCTCAAAGATCCTGCGTTCTGTGTGCTTGCCCAGGAAGTGGCCTTTTCAGAAGTGGCTAGTGGCCTCCAGCGCCCCGCCGGGTGGGGGGTGCAGGTGCCACTGCCTTTCCCGGCGACAATTGTAGCGCTGCCACTTACCAGGAGAGGGCGGCTGGAGCTTGGGCTGCTTCTTGGTGTCCGTGGTGCTGAAGACTTCCGGCGGGGGCTCCTCCCCGCGCTCGATCTTGCACTCAAAGGCAAACAGGTACTGAATATACTGCTTTTTCAGGGAGCTCGCTGCACTGCTTGAAGTGCCAACATTTAGGTTGGTTGCCAGCTCACGCCACTTCTTGTTTTTATTAACCTAGCAAAAAAAATGGCAGGATCATTGGTTTGTAGCAAAGTGGCTTGTTTAAAGCCAGGAGACAAAAAAAGCACTTAATGTCTTGGTTTACTCTTTTTTTTTTTTTTCATTTGCCTCTCTTAACTAATGCTCATTACTCCCACTCAGTAGTGCAGAGACAGCATTTACAGTTATAAAACCATTAAGGGACCTGCTGATAGCTACATAAAATGCTGCTCGTCGAGATTCTTCTGCCTGATGCACCTTCTAAAGCCTCACTCTTCCAGGCCGCTGCTGCTCAGAGCCTGCGATCTTCCCCGAGCAAATGTACACTCCCGTTCACCCCCATCCCACCTCCAATCAAAAAAAAAAAAAAAGAAAAAAAAAAAGGACATCTGAAAACGAATTTAAAAAGCAATAACATGACTGTTTTGCAGTTTAAGTGTTCTAGCTTTGATATGAGAAACACTGTTTCCTTCCAACAGCCACAAGCTTCCAGAAAGCCGAGCCTGTAATTCCAGCCCGTGTCCCTCCTCTCACAGGAGGCTTTCCTATGGTGTTGGGCAAAGGGGACTCTAGGGCAGCCCACACCAGCCATCAGCCCTGGGTGGCTCTGAGGCCACCAGCCGGCCAATGTGGCGGGTCTCTGTGAGCCAGGGGAAGGGGCAGGGCACAGGTGACTACACAGTGTTCCCACTTAACACTCCGACTGAAGAAAACACAGCCGCAAAGTGAGGAGAAAAAAAGGAGAGAAATCCTGAAATGCTGCAAAAGGATTCTGGGCATTAACTTTTGATCCCCACTTAGGCTAGCGTTATCCAAGGTTGAACGCCTTAAGGAAACACACAGACCTGCAAATACTTGGGGAATAATCTGCTTTTAGATATGCTTTCTGCTAAGTAGCATGGTAAGAGTTAAGGGGACAGTGTTTTTTTTTTTTTAAGATTTTATTTATTTATTCATGATAGACACAGAGAGAGAGAGAGAGAGAGAGAGAGAGAGAGAGAGAGAGAGAGAGAGAGAGACGGAGAGAGACACAGGCAGAGGGAGAAGCAGGCTCCATGCAGGAGCCTGACGCGGGACTCGATCCCGGAACTCTAGGATCACGCCCTGGGCCAAAGGCAGGCGCTAAACCGCTGAGCCACCCAGGGATCCCCAGGACAGTGGTTTTTTAATGAAATGTTCAATTTTTGGATTCAAACTTTCCCACAAAGCTCTTTATGTCCATTTACTTAGTACTAAATGGTGCACGATAAACAAATCTCAGAATGCTCACGAAATGCTTAATTCCACTTTTGGCACTTCATGCCAGGCTGCAACAAGCAGGCCTGCAAATTGCTTCAGAAGGGATATGCAGAGTATTGCCTAGGACACCCTGAAAAGCAAGGCACTGATCTCTATGTGGCTGCAAGTACCTGCCCTGACTGCATCTGAGGACCGCATCTGGGTAGAAACCAAGATTGGGTATGAGTGACAATGTGGCCAAGTAGCTCACTGCTGTGCATCCCAGCTATACTCACACTGCCCTGATTAGCTGGGTGAGCAAACAGCCTTACTTGCAGACCCAACATGGTAACCCACACTGCTGACACTCCAAGTAAGGTGTCTAGACCTCTATACTTCTGTGAGGGTGAAACCCAAGTGTATAGTATCCGGAGGATTCTAAAATCTTGGCCAGAGAGCTAGATATGGAGTGGGAGAGGTCAGGGGGGCCTAGGTGCAGGGGAGAGGTGTGCATCCTGAGCTCTCCCTCCATGGACCAACTCTCCCTCACTTCATCTGCACTGAGGACTTACCAGCTGTTTCTGCAAAGCCCTGAATCAAGCTCTGCTTGTTCAGTTGTACATTGCAGATCTCTGGTGGGATAAGGCACTTCAGGGAGGGCTGAGAGCAAAGGCCTCTCCTGTATCCCCCCAGAGCCACACGGCACTGAAACCAGGGCGGGCCCTCAGTGAAACTTATGGATGAGGTGACTCACTCTTGGATAGTTGGCGACCTGTGGTACCTGGGTGGAGTGCAGGGTGCCACACTATGTAGTAGACCACTAGGGCCCAGAGCAGCTCCTTTCATCGATCTGGGTGGAAGCCTGGTTACTGACAGGTTTTTAAAGCTCCCCAGGTAATTCTAATGAAGAAGTAGCCTCAGAGCTAGTGGTAGATGGGCAGAGCACCCGTCTTAGAACTCGCAGGCTTGGCCCACATCTAGCCTGAGTGCCCCTGGGCCACATGATCCTACCTCATTTTGTTACAGCTTCCTTCTCTCCGTGGGGCTGATGTCCCTGTATTTTATGGGTATTCAGAAAGACAAAGCCAGAACAAATTTAAAGCACAGGGCCTCACACACAGTGAGCACTTATCTAGGGATCCTCTTTTTGCCTTTTTGCCGTTCCTCTGGCAGGACATGTCCTCGGAACTAGACTTTGGGCTAAAAGCAGAGCCATGACCAGGGTGAGGAAAGCATGGCCCCCAGGGCATATAAATTAAGGGAGCACTGGCTTTAAGAATCAGGCAAATGCAGGGTAGGTACTGCACAACCCTGAAGCTGAATGCCCTCTGGTGGACAGGTATCTTGGACTTGCTTATTAGATATACAGGACTTAGTTTTCCTAATAAATTACTCTGGCTAGAAGGAAACAGTGAACTGGATTTATAACTGATCCAGACAATTTGGTCACTTGCAAAACATTTCTGGGGTATTTACTATGGAATCTTGGCAAAGCCCACAGAACTCCAGAGCTATCAGGGAACCTAAACAAAAATCTAGCCCAACTGTCTCACTTTACAGATGGGAATGGAGGTCCATATGATGACCTGCTGAGGTCACATGGCGAGCTGTCGGCAGGGCCAGCGTCCCGAGCCCCAGTGCTCCCCCTGTAGCACTTAGACTGGATCCCATAGGCTTAGCTTTCTCTTTATTGGGGGAAAAAAAACATTTGAGTCTGCACATTCAAAGAAACCTGCAGAGAGAGCTTATGCAGTGTCTCCTCCTTGACTCATTCACATGCCCTCACCTGTGCCAAACCTCCAATCTCTTTGACGCAGACATACAGCCGGAACAGGTCCAAGGGCTTCTTGCCCACTGCAGGCAGACTTGAGACAGGGGAGCCTCGCTCTTCCATGAAGGTAAGGTATCTGTCGACCCATAGCTTCCGCTCTGGCTCATTCCCCAACTCATACACCTTTGTGATCTTTTCCCCAGTAGTGGTGGATGAGCTGGACTTCTAGTGCCCAGAGGAGCATTTGGGGGTGGGGTATGGGTGGGCACAGGGTAAAGGGAAGAAGGTGAGAAGAAAGTAATGAGCTACCAAATACAGGAAGAGAACAAATTTAAAAACTACTGCTATCACACAACAATTAGGAATGAAGGCTACTAGTTCAGGCACAAACTATACATTTTCTTAATTAAGACTTTACTTTGACTTTAAAGAAAGGGCCCAAACTCCCCCTTTTATATACTTCAAGAACAAAAACAAAAAAAACAAAAACCTTTTTTACTTGATTGATTATAAGCGCTGAATCCCAGAAGGCATGATTCCAATAACACTGCACGTCATTTTTAAAAATAAAAGGGTGTTAGCTCATAGAAGAATCACAGTGAATTTAAAATTTTACATGTATGTAATATTATAGAGCTCTCAAAACTATATGGATCCTTACTTGTTGTCAAAATAAGAATGGCCAGTGTGGGTCTTCGTTAAAATGTTAAATCATACAGAGGAAAGCAGATAACGGGACTTGCTGAAAAACATAAGGTAGGTTACAAATGCCAGGAACCAGTGGTGTGGGCTCTTTGCTCATTTGCAAGCTTTATAGACTAGTGGCCAGCTATGCTTTTGGTATTTACTCATGATGACTAGCTCTCCCTACTTAAGATTTCTTGAACTTCTCTGCCAAGGCAAGGGGCTATTAGAGAGTTATTTTAAAAGATTTCTTAGGCAACCATGCTTTAATCACAAACACATGTGCTATTGCATATTCCCTGAACATCTACGGATAAAAATATACATTTACTTTTACACACACAGGTTTATGGGCTCATGTGGTTTATACTAATGCTCTAATTCTTGTCTTTTTCTAATTATCTCTGACCCTAAAATGTCAAAAGTTGCTGTTTCTGCATAACTGAAGCCCACCTTCTGGATGGATTATGTGATCTGGGAAGGTAACACTTCTAATCCTACACAGCCCAAATGTGTCTTTTTCCTTATGTCTCTGTATTTGTAACAATAATTTGGGTACTTGTAATATTTACAACTCCAGGGTTATTGTGAAAAATCACTTCTAGATTCTCAATAAAGATTTCCTTGGAACAAGAACTGACTTCATTTCCTCATATGTCTTTATCAGTTATCATTTGGAATGGATACCCGTTATTTTAGACGGAGTTTTCCTTAACTCTTTTTCTATTATGTTTAGCTTAACAATTTTAAACGCATAGCTGAAGTTTGGCAGGTTAAATAACATGACTGCACTGAAGTTTGAGGTTACCTTATTTGGCAAATGATCCCCAATAAAAGTAGCACCTCAGAAAGGATGCCTGAGAAGGAAACTAACAAAGTTGGTGAGTGGCAGCTTCTCCCCTAATTAACATGTTCTTCTCCCGAGCTATTGCTGCTGGAATTTTATGACTCAGACTTAGAATTATCGAGGCATAAAATCTTTACATCAAATACAAAAAAAAATGAGTGACACAAGTTGATGTAAATAAAAAATTTAGGGTGGCAAGATTTTAAAAAAAGTGTGATCTTTTAGAATTTACACTGATGCCAAGGCTAAACAGTAAGGCATTTAAAAATGACTTTAGATTAGAGCTTAAAAATATATATACATATTCATACATATAACTATATATCCATATATATTCTCAGAGTATGGAACATACTATATTTTCAAATGTAAGTTTTTAAATTTTCCTTTCCATATTCTTATACCCAAGGAATATTCTACTAGGAAAAGAAACCACATTTTATACCACATTCCAGAAGCTTTGTCATCACTAATGGGGTAGTTATTATGAAGAGGTTTCTAAATTCTAGTTCAAAATTTTTTTTCCTTTTGGGGAATAATAGAAAAATGGGTCCAATGTTTTTTTAAAAAATGAAAATTTAAAATAAGAACAGGAAAAAAAAGCATTATCACCTGAAATCAATAATAATAATAAAAAACCCCCACCAACCTCTCCCTTGCATTTTATTTCTGAAAAATTGAGAGGTGAAAGTTTGACATTCAATTCAGGGTAAGAGAAATAAAAGCATTCATTTCAATTTAAAATTACTTTGAGTAACTCCACCAACATTCTGAATGTAAAATCCACCTGCCATTTCTGGCCTGGTCCTCTCCAAAGCTGGGGAAGGCTTCTGAAAGGACAGTTAGTCAGGACCTGAGCAGTGAGGCCATGCAGATGCCTGTTCCCGTTTATGAAATGAATGCATCCCAGAACCTGAGATAGGCCTAAAATAACAATATGCCTGGTTTGGCTATGTATATTTCTACTTTTCTTTCTTTTCTTTGTTAAACAAACTTGAGTTTAATTTCTGCATATCTCAATGTGTTCTCGTAAAGTTAGAAAAAGTTAATGAAGTGGATGGTTTTTAATCGAATCGTCTTGTTTTTCATAGCATAGTTATCAGATCTTCAGAAAAGACTTAAGGATTTTTATGGCACCATAAAGTAGGAAAATGCATCTGTATGAAGAGACAGTGGTCAGGCCTCAGGTGATGTGTTAGGTCCCAGAAGAGGCTTCCCAGGCACCGAGGCCCCTTCATCTAAATCATTGTCACCCACTTTGTTTCTCCTTGGTGGCTCTTAGTTGCATAGCTTATGAAAAGTGTATGTTTTGCATGGAATTACCTGTCTGCCCCTCGTCTTCCTGACTACGCTCCGAGTTCCACAAAGCAGGGGGTGTGCAGATTTTGAATTGCCAACAGTGACTGCACACCGGAGGTAGTTGGCATATAATCTGTTCTGTGAACGAGCACTCAAAGGGTCAGAAAGGGTTTGAGAAGTCTGGCACCCTCCAAGTAAGAATTAAGAGCAGAATCAAATATTTCTGTAAACAGGATTTCAGTGATCAAGGTGCTAAGTGAACATGGACACAGGCTGGACATTGAGAAAGGATGAGGGAGCCTAGGACTGACTGGTGTTTTCTACCTCCACTCTCAGCCTCCAGGTCTGTTTACTAGCCAATCACCAATATTGAGAGAAACAAAAGCATAAGATATTGATTGGACTACTTTTTTTGGTTCATAGACACTGGCTTTCACGTAGCCTTTGGACAGGAGTCATTATATGTTCTACCCACTAACATGGGGCAAGTCAACTAGCTCTGTGGGAAGATGGGATGACTCTTCGAGGTCACTGGGGCTACCTTGTAACTGTAAAAACCATATCCTAGTGTCAGAAACCATCATGGGCCTGAGGAAAGGGAAGGGAGATTGCTCAAAGACTGTAGCAGGACATGCTGGCGTCACAAATGTTTCCCTTGCGTACAGTTTAATGAAGTCTATAAGTACAGTTTTCCTCAAATCTTTCAGGCACATTTACATTTCAGCAGTCTTTACCATATGCCTGGTAATATGCGTATGTGCAAGTGTTTATTTTTTATTTTAGACTGTTCCGTAACAAAACAACGTTGGTCCACAGCGCACTGTCAAAGCATAGAACATCTTTATTGTGGGGTCCATTTCAAGCTCACTATTAGATGGGTTTCATAGGACATGCTGGTAAGAGCAATGTGAAGTAGAAATTGAGGTTGTGTCTCAGAAGGAACAGTTAAATATTCCTAAATTGTGTATGTCAGCAGTGATCTGACAGCAGAGATGCTCTCAGGTCCTTCCTTCCAATCGCTTTTGGTTCCCTTCCTAAATTAGTATCTCATTCAAGACAGGGGCCATTTTCTGAATACAGAGCTGCCATCTCTCTTCCCTTCCCTCCAACCACAGCTCCTCTTGTCCTTCTCTGCCACTGGAGCCAGAGGTCTGCTTGTAAATTTTTTTCTTTAAGACTTTATTTTTTTATTTTAGAGAAAGAGTGTGCAAGCATGAGTGGGGGGAGATAGTGAAAGGGGGAAGAGAGAAGGACAAGTGGACTTGAGCTGAACATGAAGCCCAGACACGGGGCTCAAGTCTAAGACCCTGAGATCATGACCTGAGCCGAAACCAAGAGTTGGATGCTCAACCAACTGAGCTTAAATTCTTAAGCATAAGATGGTTATGATATGGGAAGAGATAATGTATATGGAAATATTCAGAAAAAAAGGAAAAGGAGTATGCAGTTTTAACCATAATTGTTTTATAATAAGCAAAGGAATTCAACAATTCATTTTACTTTTTTCTTATACTTAAGTGGAAAGTGGGATTTTTATAAAAGTTTCTTCCCTACGGGACTCGTTGTACACAGATAACTTGACTAGTAAGTTATAAGATCATAAATATCTCAATCTTTATAAATCCAGAGATGGCAAAGTAGAATTTTTATTTTTAATTATTTAATTATTATTTATTTAATTATTATTTAATTATTTAATTAGTTAATTTATTATTTTTGTAAGGTGGAGTTTTTAAATACAGAGATCATCTATTAGTCATCTTTGTTTTTCATAAATTATTATTAATTATTACCTTAAGGTATTAAAAATTATTATTTCCAATCTCTGAAATTCTTCCCTCTGAGCCAACATACCAGTGTTTTTGAAAAGTTCTAATTTGAGTTCCACCTGTTAACTTGAGAGTATGCCGATTCAAAAATGCTTTTCTTATGATTAAGACAACAGCAGGGTAGATTACGGGGGAAAACCCCTGTAATGTTGGCTGCCTTCTGAGACTCAAAGCCAATAACACAAAGACATCAAAATGCAGGCGTTGCATTCCCCCTTCCTGTTAGTTCTGCTTAGCCCGCCCTAGAGCATTTTTCATTTCATCTCGGTTGTTGCAAAAGCGAAACATGTCTACAGAGAAGGTAACAGTGAATATTGCCCTTTCTTCCTCTGAAAAGGAAAATGCTGGTTATACTAGAGCTCCACATGAATTTTACAAACATTTACTGGAACCACCAACCCTTCAAACCTTCAGCTCTATCTGTTTAAAGCAGTGAATGGATAATTAATAGCAGCCTCCTTTTGGGGTTTTGACTAGATTGCCAGATTCTGCACATAGAGTCTTCTTCCCTCGAACCTGCTTTTCCTGAACTGTACTCTTCAATACGTCGTCTTACAAAAATTAGCGTGTTAATTAAACCTTCTTGGCAAGTAATTGCATGTTAAGGTTTTTTTTTTTTAAACAGATCTTTTGATTCCCTATATGAATGTAAAATAAAGGTTACTACAGCACCATTCTTATTCTTCTTCTTTTTTTTTTTAATGGCACAGAATTAATCTCTTCAGTAGGAAAATAAAGACCAAGCTCTATGGACAGAACACTGAAGCTAAAAAAAAGTTCCCTCATAGGTACACTACCATTTTTTGTTTTTTAACATATCATATGGAAATCAACACTTAATTTCAAGATGATCAGCAATCTTGTGCAAGATGTAATTTTTCTATCTCAACTGATTCTAATGTAGGTACATATTATTAATCCCAAAGTAGCATTCCAAATATTCACATGCAGTAACATTTGTACAACTTTTCTGTTAATTTCTGACAGGTGGATTGAAACAAAGCAGGGCTGGTATTATGTTAACCTGTGCCCAGATTGCAATATCTCTATTTTCAGGTAGGCAGTTTTAAAATAAGATGTTTCAGATACAACAGCCCATGAAAGATTCAGGCCAAAGGCCAAATTTGTCATTTATTCCATGGCTGCTATTAGTTCCCATGTAAATGGAGAAGTAACTTGTTTTAAAGATCTTCTGTAAGTGCACAATGGATCAGACATTTGAACAAAGTCACTGCATGAAGGAATTTGGACCCAGTGACATAACCACATGCTTCAGATAGAGCTGCTGCTTTAGACTAGCAGTTTCATTACCAGAAATTAACGTCTATGATTTACACAAACTTTACTCATTTCGTTACTAATTATCAAGAAAACCCTTTCATGGATAAATTATGAAGAAAAAGTCTTATAAAACAAATAAATAAGCAAGCATTCAAGTAGAATTAATTAATTATAAAAAAACCCCAAAAAACAAAACAAAAACAAAAAAAACACACAAAAAACCAGAGCCACTTACAGGGCTTGATGGAGTCTTTGGCCAGCCTGGGCTGCTAATGCTATCACTTTCATCTCCATGAAATGAGGAGATGCTAGCAGAGCTGGGGGACATTGGGGAAGGGACTGGCAGGTTGCCGGGGGTTGGGGGCTGAGAAATACCCTGAGAGCTGTAGCTATCCTGTGGTAGAGGAATAAAAAAAAAAAAAAATGACAAAGGTAGGGCAAACTTTATTTAAATTAACAAAAAGCACATCCAGTTTAACAGACTAATTTTTATATATAATGGATATATATATAAAGACATGTACAAACACACACACAGAAACACACACATAGAAAGGTATTAAAACAACATTCTTAATTAGTATAACTTGGTAAGTTTGCCGGATGCTGGATAAGGCCACTAAGCCACCATGCTTACTTCAAGCTTACATGGAATGCTAAGCATGGGTTACCCCGTATGAAAGAAAGAAAGGAAAAAAAAAAGCTGTTCACCTTATTTATCAAATAAGGCAGGAAAGCAAAATATTAAGTATGTTGTTGTTGCTGAGGCGGCCAAAACAGGAAGCTATAAACTGAAGGCAGAGAAAATGGCTGCAAGGATCAAAACCAGGCAAGACCCCCTACTTCTCCCCACCCCCAGAGCAACTCTCTCCGGTGGGGCTCGTCCCTCCACCCCTCTCCCACGACCAGGAGTTAAATGCCGTAAGAACTAGTAACTTTCAGATCCACACCATGGAGGGGTGGGGAAAGAAGGGAGAGCTACAAACTCGGCGGACGAGATGGAGGCATGCAGAGGAGAAGAAACCAAGTGGAAACAAAAGTGGAGGCCGACACCAGTGACTACAGAACACCATGGCAGCTTCAGCGAGGCAGACCCCACACCACGTGCAGAGGAGAAAGGAAGTACCTTCGACTTGCTCTCAGGCTGCGGAGCGCCTTCTTCTTTACCGTCGGCTTTGAGAGGCATGGGCAATTTGGATTCCCCGGGAGACATCATATCTGCAAGACCCATAGATGCTAATCGAAAACAGGAGAAAGAGTTTAGGATTATACATGTGATGCATCGGGCTGTGCTCCTGCTAACACAAGTTACTGAGTGGTGCATGGGACACTTGCATTTCCCTTGAAGGAAGAGAAGAAAAAGAAGAGAGTTGTACTCTGAGCACGCAGTCTTCTGAGATCTACACAGCACGTCATTCTGCCAGTCCTTGTGTAACTTCAAACCAAACCAAAACCAAACCTAAAAACAAACACCCCCCCCCCCAATCATTTACTCAACACTGGGGCCACTGAAAGTCAACTCTTATCAATATTGTGTTTTTCAAGATCACTACAGCTTAAGTAGAGTAGGTGACTAGCAGGAATCAGTCCATCGTTTAAAATGCTCCTCAGGTGTGAAAGGAAATACTGGGTGTGTGTTTGTACTACCTGGTGTCTGGTAGATTTCGTGCTTTCCTAATTTCCTAGATTTTCAGGATCTACTGTTTGCAAAACCATGTGACATTTTATATTGTTTTCACCCGAAAGTCTTATCTATGGCTTGTGGCCTAGTCTGCAGCAATGGATAACAGTCGGAACCAATGACTTCCAAAACAATCCTCAAAAGTCACTATTGAAGGAAAGGACTTCTAATTATTTTGCACTGTGGCTGGATTCCTTTTAGGGTGGTGCTGGGTGTACATCTATCAATCCTCAGCAGCAGCTCCAATGTCCAGGTCGGACACCCACACCAGCTCCAGAGTCAACGCTCCAATTCCTGGCAAAACTCATTTTCCATCTCAAGGCTCAGAAAACTCAGTCAAGCTCATCTAGGATTTAGAATGCAAGGTTCAGAGAACGATTGATTTATACGCGTTATTTACGAGTATGGATGGACATTTTTGAGTTAAAAATAAGGGTTTGGATTTCTCTTTAAAGAAGAACAAGGCTACAGTAGGGAATCGGCGTAGACATCCAGGGAATAGCAGCTGAATGTCTACAGAACCCCACTGTGAAAACCATCTGCGCAGCACTGGGCTGGGAGCGCGACACCAAACAGATGTGTGAGGAGAGATGGAAGCAGACAAGGGAGAGCAGAGAGAATTAAGAGCCTTGTAAATGAGTGAAAGCCAGAAAACATTCCTATTTCAAAATAAAATAAACCTGAGGTTTTATGAACAGGATCCATTCTACATTCTGCAAACAAAAGTGTTGGCTGAACCGAGACGGTGCACATGTTGCATAATGTGCCAAAAAAAAAAAAAAGAGGCAGCTTTAAAAAAGGCTCCACAGATTGCCCACTACAAAATGATTATTGCACATATTCATGTATTACTATGTTTTAGAAAATAATTAGTTTTAATTACAGCAGTGAGAGAGTGAGCAGGGCTCTGGCGAATTAGCTGGCAAGCTTTGTGGTGCTAATTTGCTAATATCGTTAGCATCACTGCAGGTTGAGACCAGAGGTCCTGCCAAAAAAGCCGACCCTGCCACGTGCCCAGGAGTCCGGCAGCGCGCTCACTGATGCCCTGGGAAGCGCCCGGCTCTTCCGCGGGCACACTGGCGTGGGTTTCAGAGCCCATTTGCAGCCAGTAAGCCCTTGAAGTCATCACCACGCACACAAATCATAATTGGGATGTTTTTCTTTCCTTTTTTTTTTTTTTTTTCCAAATTACTTTCAATACTTAGACTTTAAGAACTGGAACAAAAAGCTTTTTCAAGTGATGCAGCTGCAGAGAAAAATCTATTGGGATCAGCTAAAAATGCTGTTATTTTTGTGAATGTGTGAAACCTCAGAAAAGCAGCTGAGAGAGATTGCACCAGGACCGCCCCGCTCAGAGCAGTGGGTCGCTTTCGTGCAGTCTTCTCTCTGGGGTCTAGCGCTGTAGGAATTAGTAAATCCATGCATTAAGAAACACCCTTTTTAGAGGAACAGAAGGAAAAAAGAGCGGGACGAGTATGGAAAGAGGAGCTACTTTATCAAAGTCCACATGTCCTTGCTGGTTATTCACAGAGTTGGTTCAAAGGAATGACAGCCACACAAACCGAGGAAGTGGCAAAGTCACGGACTCTCGGCTTCTGGGAAAGCCTGCTTCTTCAAAGGTTACAATGAATAGTTCTGTCAGTATTTGTGATAAGTCATGTCTAAATATTACTGTTGAAAGATAGAAAATAGTAATATTTGTTGTTTGTGCATTAAATGTGCTAACATACACAAAAAAACAATTTTTAAGCATAAAGAAGTAGGCCAAGATGTATTATTCTAATTAAGGACAATTAATTTATACTGATTTAAAAATCAGACTCAGGTGAATGTAAGCATATATGTTGGTTTGAAATTCCCCAAACTTTTTCATTCTTTATTATATATTTTTAAATGGGCACTTAGGGTCTGCAAATATAAAAACTGTCAAAAGTAGCACTGCTTTATTATTTTGAGAGATAAATCAGGATAGGATTGAGAGTAACAGTTTTATTTAGTCCTCCTGCCTTACACTGCAAATTTTATTTTACTAAATGGATCATAAGGTCTTTCCTTACTGTGGCTTTTGCTGGTCCTTTTGTTGAAATGCTTATTTTTGACTTCTTACCAGAATTCTCAATGAGTCACCGCAAAGAGCTATATGCCTCCCAGGGCCAATGACACTCCAGGGGCACTATTTTTTTTTCTCCTTTCCCAGAAGAGAAAGACCACCACTATTGTAAGGATGTGTTAAATCAAGGCCCTGTTCTTTCTCCTATTGACATCAGTAATCCAGTATGTAAAGTTCAGACATAAAAAGGGGCAGTAAAGAACCCGTGCCTGCAGAAAGTGCTGTGTGAGTACTGTAAATACATTTCAAGCGCTAGCCTCTGGCTTTGCAACTGAAATTTAAGAGCTGGAATGATTTCCTAAAGTAAGTGTGGGTCAAGGTCCTAAGGCAGCTATTCCACCCTGGATTTAATATATTCAAAAGGAACATAAAGAACATATGGTGTGAGTAAAACTGAACTCAAACATTCACTCTTACTCAGCTTTCTTTACTTAGTCTCCCTTACAAGGCGACAAAATCATTCCCAGAAGATGGAGAAATGGGACCAGAAACACACACTCGGTTTGTTCTTTTCATGGTAAACAATACAGCATACTCCACAAAATCTTTTATACCTTGTTTCTGAAAACACAGAAGGGCCTATCTATGTGTATACATCTGTAGATATTCATGATCGTTTTTATACATGCAAATATATAAAGAGCACCGTTAACATAACACATTCAAAGGGTACGAGGGAAGCTCTGGAGAAACACTTCTCTTGGGCTGGACCAGCCAGGCCCTGAAAGCATCCTCTGACACTTCTGTGTGCCGACACACCTCCACAAGGGCACTGCCAGTGAGATGCACCACACTGTAATTTCCATCTGTGCCCTCTCTGTTACAGCATCCCAAGGAAACATGCAACCTGAACAAAACCAGTACTCTTGCTATGCATTGCTGCTTTGAGGAAACCAGCTCCCGTCTCCAGCCAGCTAGACTGATGCTCTCAAGAAAGCCCCAGCTCCAGACGAAGCCCAGAGCTACCAATATACTTGGCATAGTCCCAGCATCCATTTTTCCCACTTGAAGAGATACGGTTTTCATAATTTATTGCACCTTCTCTATCTTTGGGGGTGGGGAGGACAGCAGTTCACTTCAATTCATGAACTTCAAGCAAGCAAGCAAACAGAAAGCCCAACAATCTTTATAAACTACTTAGACAACCAGCCACCAGCAATGTTGCTAAAGATCTAAAACTTCCTTAGTGAAAGGTCCTAAAGTCTCAATAAAGCATCTATCCACTTGGAGGATCTATATTCTAGGCATAGTTTTGTAAATCTTTTTAAAATTTTTATTTTTTTTAAGATTTTATTTATTTATTCATGAGAGACACAGAGAGAGAGAAGAGGCAGAGACATAGGCAGAGAGAGAAACAGGCTCCATGCAGGGAGCCTGATGTGGGACTCGATCCCGGGACTCCAGGATCACGCCCTGGGCCAAAGGCAGATGCTCAACCACTGAGCCACCTAGGCATCCCTTTTATTTTTATTTTTTGTAATTTTTGTTTTAATTTTGAAAGAGCAAATGCCACATAAAGCTGGCAGCACTTCTGCCAGGAAATACCTCTAAGTGGGAGGTTCTTTTCGCATAGACACATATGAAACCTATCTGAGGAACCTGTGAGGAACAGAGATTCCTGGACTCCTCACAAATTCTGACTGGGCCCCAGAGATCTGTAGTTTTAACAAGCATTCCAGGTGACACAAGTTTCTCGATTTTTGAAAACATTGAAAGAAACTGTCGATAGTGTGGAAGTGAGCTCGCTTTTTTTCTCTGTTAAGGGCTAATGGAGCTAGTCTGCCTCATACTGGTAGGACATCCATAGGATGATGCTTTTGGGATGGGGCAGGGCTAGGTTGGCAGAAAGATCTGGAATCTGACCGGGCTCTTGTAGAAGAGGAAGGCCTGACTACATGGCTGCTCATTTGCTATCTGCAGATTATATTGATGGAACCGCACTGCATTTTGCAGAGTGCCTTCCAGCGAGGCGAACTTAGAACCACAGATGGTAGATATGCTTTCTGGAATTTAGAGGTCTTCCTTAAGGTGGTGGTTTATACAAAGACAAGTACACGACTAATGAATATTATGAAAGGAAACACGAAGTATAAAGTAACTAATAACACAAGTATTATAAAAGGGTCTATTTGACAAGGCTATATGTGATATAATTTTGCCCATAGCATTACATAATTCTAATCTTTTAATGCAAATAATTTTTTTTAAAGAAAGCTCCTTTAGAGGGGAAAAAATCCCCCCACTGCTTAGCACCCCACTTCCCCTGCATCTTAAAATGAAGAAATAGTTGTCACATTCATACTCACACTGACTCCATTTGAATAATTACTTGCTCACTGAAGCCTGTAACCATTTGTCACTACACGAGAAGACGTTTTTTGGCCCTGGTACCCCGTCTACAGCACAACTGTCTGAACTCCACAAGGAGGATGCTGGAATGCCAGTTGCATAAGCTGCTAACTGAGGTTCAGCAAATCTCACTGCCAGCCCCGGACATCATGGGTGTTATCTTCCCTTTCTCCAAAAGTGTCCTTTGACAGAGAAAATGCTTGGCTGTTATCACTCGTAATTAATCTCCATATGCTCAAACCACTAGACTTAAGTGATGATGATCAAAGCCATTTCTGGCTCAAACTCTAGAAAAAGTCAAGAGGACATCCTCAGACCAAAATCATGAGGAGCCACTCAGTAACATTCCGAGTTCCTTTGTTATTCCTGTTTCCCCCAGAGACTGTGACAGAGTGATAGCAGATTGGCGTGTGCCTATCAATAGATACACAATATACGCCAAATCATCAATATTCTTCGGATGTGCTAGCTAGATGACTACTTTCTACCAGGTAGCATTTGACTTACAGAGTTGGAATAAAATCACATAAATGTGTAGAAAAACTTTGATAAATGTCTAAATTAACTCAATATGTGTCTAAATAAGTAGGTCTAAAAATTCAATATTTCAAAATATACAATGCAATAAAAGAATAATACTAGCCCATACAAAAGACTGTGATGATAACCAGCTTTTCAACGAACAGATTTCCTCTGTATGAAATAATGAAAAGCTGAATTATCTGAATAATAATAATAATAATAAAAAGAAACCCTGTGAATCTCCATTAAATTGGCTATTCCTTGGGAACACAAATCTTCTTAGGCAGGGCACAGTGCCACCTATTTGTGGTTGGTTATTTTTGTGGTTCTGGGGTCCAAAGGAAAAATGGAAAAATGAGTATTGCTAATAGTAGGTGAAAATTTATTGTGTAGTTTCAATGCTCTGAAGTAATTTTATTTCAGCAAGCCAGACAAAACACATAATGTCATAACCCAAATACACTATTACCTGGGACAGTGCTGAGAAGGGAAGGGGAAGCTTCTGGCAAATAGACTGTTTAAGAGCATTCCTCTTTCATCTCAAATGTAAAAACACCCACCTCGCTGGGATGAACTACCAGTATCAAGAAGAGCTATTCTATTTATTTAAAAACCTTCAATTTTGTCAATAGCTTCTCTTTCTTCCTCTTCCAGATACTTTTAAAGAGACGTCATCAAGGAATGGCACTATTAAATTAGACCCTGGAAACCAACAACTCAGAAGCTCAGATAGGATGCAAGCCCAGCCTCTGGCTGCCTGTTCGGCCAGACAAAGAAACAACAGCTCCTGGGGTGGCCTTTCAAAGACAGGTCAGAGAGGTGGCGAAAGGCAGAGGAAATGAAAAAAAGTAGTAAGAGAAAGCCAAGCCTCTAGCTCCATGGTGTTTTCCTCACACATCATAAAACATTGCAGGACACACACAACTGGTTTCACAAAGCTCTGCATTAACCAAAGGAGAGCATCCTCCTGAAATTGTGCTTACGACTCGAATAGGTGCTAGAAAGTAACAGGTCAACTGTGATTCCCCAACTTTATCTCAGCTGAAAGAGTAGCACTGCTCACTGCTGGTGGTTCAGAGTCGAAGGAAGCTGAGAACACAGACTATTTGCACAGGTTTGGGCATTTTTGGTATTACCACAAATTGACAGGCCACTCTTACTGCACGGATTGGATGGGATTTGGTAAGAATGTAGTTGATGACTTCACAGTGGGTTTAAAAAATTAGACATAATGGAAAATTTAAAACAGTTTGCTAAAGAAAATTGTAAAGACTTTTTCAATGGAGACAAACTGGTAAATAGCACTTACGAACAACTATTTCCAGGTATAAATGTAGAAGTGAGAAAATACTTCCACCCCTCCCTCAATCACTTCCCCTGAAATATGAACTTGAAGTGTTCGTCTCCACCACGATGGAATGGAGTAGCAATCTTGTCATGAGATCTTCCAATACTTCGAACGATGTCCAAAGAGAAAAAGAACTTAGTGAATATCTAGCAAGCAATCCCCAGAGTCACTTGGAATATGTCCACACATTACAAAAACAGAGTGTATAAAAATAATTTACACAGAACTCAATGTGATCCTTATGTCTAGAAATATAGTTACATGATTGAACAAGTTTCCAGGTGGCAGAAAAGTTGAGTTTTCCCCCTTTTCACCCAATGATCCCATTGCTTGGGGTAGTTCACTGGTGCAGGCCTAAGAGCAGAAGAGGGGAAGGGAGGGCAGCCTTCAGAGCACAGAGCTGCCACGGTTACCTGCTGAGCTGTTCACCATATTGGGCGTCATGCTGTAGGGGGGTGCCTGGGTATTCATCAGCCCAGAGCTGTTGTTCACAGGCTGGCTGTAGGGAGAGCTGGAAGCCATAAGTCCACTCTGATTCATGCCGGGAAAACTGCCTTGCCTGTAGGAAAAGAAAGTACATATGTATATATACTGACCATGCACAATGGGAGCACTTTACCCTGGTAGCCATTTCTCATAATCCACTTATGCAAGGGGCGGGTCTGCTATTTTTCATGTTCGTTTAAAATAACTTATTTCCCAGAAAGAGAGGCTGAATATTGCTAAGTAATTATTTAATACACTGTGTAAAAATTCCAAATAATATAAATTTAACAAGTTATACATTTTGAATCATGTTGAATGGTCTAGGTTATGATTTATATAGGGAATATAAGCCAGAAAGGGGGAACTTGAAATAAAAACAGGAATTACAAAAGCAAGCAAAATTAATTTCTAATGCTTAAAAGATCTCTTTATAGCATTACTTAAATGTCCTCGTATCAAAAAACCAGAAGTTAAGGAATGAAAATCAAATTGGCTGTGTGGGAATGTTATTTAAAATTTTTTTCTTTGACTTAAATTTTTCTGATATAATGAATATGGGAGAAAGCATTTCTAAAACCCTTTAATCCTGTTATTTAACATTCTGAAATTAGGTACTATTAAAAACACACCAATTTTCCCATATTAACATGACACAGTAAATACCACACTTTCACTTCTTTTTGTAGGCTTTCCTGTGACAGGATGGAAAAGAACCTAGATTGGCCGACAGTGTGCCTAAAAGGCTCCGGGGTCACCCCTTCCCGACTGCAATGCAGCCTCATGAACTTAAATTTTTGGTGACTTAGTTTTGCTAGTTTTGTGTGCATGCTCTGTTAAAGACAAACTTCTCACTCCTGCAAGGGGGAAAATTTCTTAATCTGAAGGGGACAATTGTGGCACCAAAGTGTTTCTCTAACCACTGGAGATGAGATCAGGAAAGGGGAGGTTTAAACTGCGTGGTGCTTTAATTCTTGAGAGAGAATTACAAGGTCAAGAGAAAAATGATGGCAACGTGCCAATATCTGGGAAAGTCTCCAGTTCCTACTCAAGCATCTCTTATGTAAATAGTATACTTTGAGAAAACTTTTCAGACTTTTGGCTACGAGTGTTTTCTCTTAGAAGTAAAACTACTAGGATGGGTAGAAATCCACACTGGCTTATCTGTTCCAAATGAATTATGATTACAAATCCCCCCATTTCCATTAAGCTGTCGTTTGATGACTTTTTATGCATTACAGTAAAATATTTTTAAAGCGACTCTTTAAAAGATTAACATAAGTCATTTTAAGAAAAACCCAATATACTATTCTTTTTGTGTAGCAATTTTCAATGGATTCAACTTCCTGGCTGGTAGAAAAAGTTCAAACACAGTCCACTTGAAGATTCAAAGTATCAAAGGTTTGAGTGGGTTTTTTTCTTTCTTTTAAATATTACATCAACCATTCGGGGAAATTCTGTCCAAGCGAACACTCGATGATGGCTTGGAAAGAACATTCTAGCAGGCTCAGGGACTATTGGTGTGAGCATGGCTCTGGAAGAAAGGAATGTTACTTCAGCCTTGAATTCTGAGCTCAATGGTGCCACTTCAAGTGACTACAGACTGCTGAATCAGGATTATAATTCCCAGTGTAGTTCATTAAGAATGTATCTGAGATCATCTGATGGCTTGATTAACCTCTAGGGCATCAAATACTTCTAAACCCATTGCCTGGCTGCTAGACACCTACTCCTTTATGGTTAGGGTCTTAGCATCAGCAGGTAGGCAGCTGGCATTGACTCAAGTATCTGAGGTTCTTTCCTGACGTGTCTCATTCAAACAAAAGACAATTTCACATTCATGTACCTGTTTCAAAAGAGAACAAGTGGCACCTGTTGGGGCTGCTCTCTCAAGTTCTTAGAGGATAAATCATCTGAAGGGCATCCTTAGCTCATCAACAGGTTGGGTTTTCTGAAGACAGCTTTCAAGTCTCAACCGGCAGGGACCCATCCTTCAAGATCCAGATTCAAGGCCCACCCTGTCTGGGAAGGCCATTCTCACCCCCTGCCTGGAAGCTTGCCTGCCCTGGACTCTGCCTATCACAGCCTTCTGCACTTTCATTTGTGTATTGTAACCATTTATGTGCGCATCTTAGCTCTTGTAGGTTTGGATGCCCCCGAAGAGGAGCAACTATGGAGTGCAGTCAGCTACTAAAGGAATACTCGTTAAATGAACTGATAGAGAACATTTTACCATTGTAAACAGGCCTCCAGAAAGACGGCCATCTCTTTAAGCTTCCACCAGATTCAATTTCACATGTGGTGTGACTATTGTGCACATGAAACAAATGGTTCCTTGAGCATGCTTGCTTAGAACACAGGTGGAAAAGAGAAATCGGATAAAACCCACCAGGCAGGGTCTCTGGAACCCTAATTCATGATTTCTCCCCCAAGGCTGCACTGTCATGTACAATCACCATAAGGGGATGAAGGTACACATTGGAGATTAAAAAAAATACCCTTAAAATAATAGAAAAATTAAAGATATAGAGGTGTGTGTGTGTGGGGGGGTGGGGGATGTCAGTTGCTGGCTACAATGGTCTTCAATGAAACCATGCCTAGAGTTTTACAAGTCTGGTCTTGATTCTGTCACTAGTCACACTTTCCACTGTCTGGGATCCGGGAGCAAATCTCTTTGGGGCTCTGGGTCTGGTTTTGCACATAACCATGGAAGGTCTGATAACAAGAGCAACTGTCCTAATTTATGAGGTCCTTATAAATGCTCCCAGTACCATTTCTAGGCATTTTACTCATTTAATTTTTTAAATTCCTGGAGGAAAGTAGGTGGAATTATGCTCACATACAGAGAAAGAAAATAAGAATCAGAGAGACTAAGTTGCTTGAAGACACATAGTTAATGAATGCCACAGGCCTGCTTTTAGTCCAGTGTCCTCTATTTCTTTCTCCACAGGCCCTCTACTACTGCTAGCACCTGACAAGACAAGGTTTAATGGCACGCAGGGCCCACTGTATACCTTTCTACCTTCCTATCTGTCTATTCACCTGTAGTTGTAGAAAGCTGAGAAATAAAAATGGTGCTTCTCTCTGGGCTTCCTAAATACCTGCTTCCAGGAAGGAGTTTATCCAGGGTGCTTGCTGCGGGCCTCTCAGGTATCCAAGTAGGGAAGTAGCCAAGAAAGACGGGAGTCTTCCCAGGAATGCAGGGCATGTGTGGCCATGAGCACAGCACTTGGCCATCTGTCCAAATAGGGGAGAGAGCCAGCCTTCCATCATTGCAGGAGAAACCCCATTCATTATTGCTTTGGAAACTACTGTCAGGACTGTTGGTAATTTGGAACAAGCAAGATGGGTTTAATACTGAAAAAGAGAGCTTTCAACACACTCTGTTGAATTCTGGAAATGGAGACAATTTTGTTGGTGGAAGGAAATCTAACATGGCCTCCCATCTAAGCCGCGCACTCCAACTTGCACACTCCAACTTACCACTGTGTGGCTAATAGGAGAGAAACGGTTTCTGGGGCCAACAGAAAGCTTCTTTGGTCGGGTTCACTACTGTTACTCGGACCACAGAAACCTCAAACGAAGCTGGGCCCTTTCCGGAGGCAGCACTCACTGACTGCTAGATCCCTTTCTGACCACACAGCAACATTGGGAATGCTCCACATGGAATGAGGGGAGCAAAGACGTAAATGACACAAGACATTCTCTTTTTCAAAGAGAAACAAGATCAACAAAACAAAAAGAGATAGAAGTACAAACTGAAATGAGGGAAACATTTTCTACATAAAACCCTAAGATGTAAGTTACCTGGAAGAGTGAAGTGCCCTTCCTTGACCTTTGGCTGTGGGAATTCCTGGGCTATCTATTATGGGCTCAGATAGTTTTTGTTGCAAATTACTGCTGTCCTAATGCCACACATTCCTGACCTGCCATGGTTGTGGTAATAAATGCCCACTAATGTCTCAGGGGGGAACTGATGAACATTGAAAAGTAACATTTTGTTGGTGTTGGGCTGCTAACATAGCTATTGGGCTGCACCCCCAGGGAGGTGGTGCACAGATCACAGCAGGTGGACCACATGGACCCTGTGTTCACCTGGGTCTGGTCTTCTGCAGCATAGCGCTCGTCCCTTTATCTTTTCAAAATCAAAGTATGGTGTGTGTGTGTGTGTGTGTGTGTGTGTGCGCGCGCGTGTGAGAGAGAGAGTAAGGCGGGGGGGGGGGCTTATCTGAACACGTGGGCCCACAAAACAACTAGAGGAACTTTACTTAAATCGGTCTTTGGTTGGGACTAGATAGAAGTGTTTGAGATCTGTCACTCAATGACAAAAGCCAGGTTAGTATAATGGGAATAATTCAGAAGTGGAGCCTGTAGACGTGTTTCCCTAAAGCACTCCTCATTCCTGCTTCTCAGGCTACACACATGCACAAGTAATTTTTTAAATAGATTTTCCTTTTATTCACTTTGGAGATTTCTCAAACATTACACATTCATCTGCCAACAAAGAGCTGGCTTTGGGGAAAAAAAAAAAAACCCAGCAGCAAAAACCAGTTTTAAAGTGACCGTTTCCAATGGCTCACCATGAAAGACAGAAAGGGGAATACAGCTTCCAACTACAGCTTGAACTTAGCAGTTAAACACACCAGTATGAAATGCTATAAAGAGTAACCACACATTTCTAAATACCTTGTTTTAAAGTCAACTACAATAAAATTTAAAATAAGAGCTATATATGATTTTGGTGCTTTAAACGAATATTTAGGCCATATTGTTTTAGCAATCACCACTATTTTTTCTCAACAGTGACAGACGGGGAAGTGTGAAATGTGTAACTTGGAAATGAGTGGATTTCTGATGCAGCTCTTTAGAGAAGGGTAGGGACAGACAGAAGAAGTGCTTTGGAAACAGACGCCACATGAGTAGAACCACGTCATAGAAAGTCCCAGGGGCAAGCCACGTGGAGAGACACTGCACACAAGAGGTCTAGCAGAGCCACTGAAAATATCATTCTTGAGTTATGTTCACTGTGAAGATAAAGCAAGGCGTGCTTCATCAGAAAACTGTTATGACTGCCAA